CTATTAATCCTTTCAGTGAACCTTCACTTTTATCCTTCGAAGTAAATATATTGCCATTTTTTCCTCTGAAGAGACAAGTTGAGATCGTTTAGATTCTCAAAAATATCTGATTAAACAGCATAAGCTATATATATGTAGCTATAAGTCACTCTGAAAAACAACAGCAAGATTAAATTTTTGTTCAGTTAAAAGTGAAATATTTTTCCATTTTAATAACAATAATCTTCTTAAATTTCGTATTCTTAATATTCATCTTACTTCTGAATGCAATATTAAATGTTTGCATTCGAAGTCTGTGTCTTTTCAAAGATCTAAAAATAAACAGCTTTTAAGTGTGGGAGGTTTATCGGTTAATTTTTAACTAATTGTTCATTTTAAGTTAGCACTTTCCTATTATTCTCTTTTCAACCACGTTTTTCATACCAGAATGTAAATGGTATGCCTATTCCAGGCCATGTTGTGCTGTGATTATTAGCGACTTGCGTTAGCGGCGTTTTGTGTTCTAGGCATTAATTAGCCTTGTCTCGCCGGTTTACTACAAACCAGAACTCTTCCTGCAGGTTAAAATTTTCTGTGAGCCGTTAGGCTAATCTACCACAGTTTGAAATTATTAGTTGTTACGTTATTCTGTCAAACCATAAAGGCTGGGCTTCTTCAGCAAATGAGCCAAGTTGGTTTATTTGTTAATTTTATGTTTGAATGAAAGGGAATACACACTTCTTCTGATTTCTGTTTTTGTTTCACAAGGCTAGAAGATAATTCTTCAGTAGTCCCGTTTAAAGTCTACTTCATATGTTTCCAAAGAGACATATACTTTACAAGTGCATAATATTAAATAAAGTTTATAATTCTGACTGCATCCCAAAGCAGATCGTTCAAATCGTTCAATTCTGATACTATGTTTTTCCTACGAGGACCTCCCGATGGATAGAAACAGAGAACTGTATAAAAGTTATATGATCATTACCATCAGCTTTATCAAATAACTTTTTCGTCCATCATTGCTTTTGCAATATCTGTGCACACTCTAATGTAATTTTTCCTGGTAAATTTATCTGAAATATACTAACAACTGCTGAGCTATTTTTAAACTATCAGTTGTTTCGTCCAACTGAATCGCAAACTGTGGGCTTTCATTACGTCTGATAATAAGCTCTTCAGTTTGTTGTTACTAATTTCTAAAATTATATTATCGACAATGATATATGATTAAGAAATTTTCCAAATTTTTTCACCTTGTTTACTTCGAAGTATTTCTGCCATTTCAATAATAGCAATGGCTTTTTATTTTTAAGAATCAGATGTGGAAATCCGTATGACGCGAATAAATGTTTTTCGCTAGTTGTTATAAATTTCTCGAAATAGCGTTTTGTTTTTTTAAAGGTTTAACAGTCGTTCAAAATATTCTTTTGATTTAATGATGTGTGAAGGATCCTTGGATTGAGGATGCCTTTTGTAATTTTGATAGTGTCATACTTCCTATAAGAGAAACACTTTCAAATTAAAAACAAAGAGTTTGTTCATTACTACCACGACTGTTGAAAGTAAAACCAAATAGGAGATATGTCTCATCCTATTTTGTTTTTGTATCTTAAATGCCTCGTAATGGTTACCAGATCCTGCTTAAAGAGATTTTGTAGCACTGCTATGTGTGTCATTGTTTTTGCTATTTAAGTTCAGCCATTTATACATGAGTAAAAAATATTTTTATCCTAAAATATAAATTTTAAAAAATATTTTAGTAATTATTCAAATAAATATCAACAATAGTCGAGCAACATTCAATCCAATTTTGTGTTGTCCTTGCGATGCACATATTTGTAGCGATTAAGTCTAGACTTGTTTCAGTTTACTCGAAAGCGTTATTACTGCATTAGTCATAGCGGCGCCGAACTTATTCTCAGCAGAACTGTGGCACAAAGCGTAAACTATTGTAAGTTTGGGGTATATTTTGATTCTGAAATAACTTAAATTCTGAAATTGCAAAATGACACTGTTATTATGATGTGCTTAGTGATATTTCTGAATATGTAAATATAATGTGCAATTGAAAGTGGTCAGTATTACGATTTTACCATTGCGCTCTACAGAAAATGTTACATATTAAATTAAATTACATATTAAAGATGGATTGAGACTAATATTTCTTTAAATTCATTTATCTAAATTAAATTTTCGCGAGTCATAATTTAAGAAATGCTGACATGAGGGAATATAACCTCTGAAAATTAATTAACCATTTCAAACACTTTACTTAGTTTATTAGGTTCCAGATACCAACAAATTATCCAAATTTCTTTCTAATTTCTTTTGTAAACATTCTTGATCCATAGAGATTGGAAAATTGAAACTGAGTCATTTTCTAATCATCTCTAATCGCAAAACTGGCTGTTCTGAAATAGAGAAAAGTTAGTTCTAATCTCTTTTTCTTCATTTTCCGTCAAAATAAAATCAATCTAGTAACTGAAAAGAAGGAAGTTAAGGTACCAACACAAACCAGAACTTTTCATGCAGAAATAACTCTAACAGGTACAGTTTTAAGCAACATGCGATTAAATTGTATAGTGCATTTTAAAAAAGGCCCTCTTTTTTATTTTCTTCAGTTTTTGATCAGGTTAAGAATAACACGGAAATCTTAAAATATGCTCTAATTTGGTCAAATCTGCTAACATTGAAATAATAATATTCATGCTCTGTTATCTTAATTTTGAATCAATCATATATAGGGTTTCAAAATTTGCAAAATTGGCAAAGACAATTGCCGCATCGCCAAAGACGGATATCATGCGTTCAATAGTATTTTGTCGGTGTTATAAAGTCTTTTATTAAGAATTGAATGGTATAAAAATGTTTTGTATTTTCAGTATTAGCAAGCATAACTGACGGACAACATCTAACAGCATCTTAAAACTCAAATAATGCTTATTGTGTATGTTTTCGTTTCCCACTTTCCAAGGGCGATGCAATCGCTTCACTCTGCATCGTCATTCCTCAAGGATTAGAACTTATTGAACACCCCTTTTATGCCTCAATATCCTTTATCACTTGAAAATTTTTAATTTTTCTCTATTTACTTACCTCTAATATATGATATTGCACCTTCATTTTTGTAGCAACTTAATTAAGTATCTCGTTTCTGGGGGAAAAAAGAAAAAGAGGAAATTGTTCACAGATTCTCTTGTCCTTAAATCTGCGTTTTGTAGCGATGTGACTATGTTTACTAAACTTTTCGTTTTAAGACAAAATAAAAATTATAATTTAGTATTAAGTCACTTTATGCCTTTCACCGAAAGTATGTTTACGTTCAGAACTATTATTATACTCAAAGTAAACTCAATTTCGAAGGGGGGAATATTTTTCGATGATCTTAAACTTCCTTTCAAAGAAAGATAAAATGTCGAACTCGACAAATATTATTCTAGAAATAATAAGTAACCGGATGGAGTCAAAAAGAATAAAAATCAATTACCTGGTATCTTTTATCGCCGCTTATTCTTTCATCCTCTTCTCTGGAAACTTCGAACCATCCACTCTTCTTTGTGAAGAGAAATCACCCACCAAATTCAGAAACGTGCTTCAGGTTCTGAATGAAGGAAGAGAAAGATTATGCTTCAAGTGAAGAAAAAAGGTATTTCATGTATCAAAATTTAATTTATGCTTTTTATCTGTAACTCATAGTTAACTTTGCTGCATTTTAATGCTAAAATAGAAGTTCTGAACACTAAATTCAGATCTCAAGATGTATTACCATTATCTACAGTAATCAGTATTTCGAGAAAGCCTATTCAACGCTAACGATATCTTCCACTCACAGAAAATTAGTTAGAGATACCGCACAGTTTATGAAATTGTATTAAATTATCTACTTAATAAAATAATAAAATGCAGAGATTAGTATTAGTGATATATAATAATACAGTTTGATATGCAATAAAACTTGACACGATCTTAAAAGTAATTCCACCTACTTTCGAAGAAAGAAATATCAGACGCATAGTTCATAATGTATCAAACTTAGAAACTGCAAATTTCCATGAACCCCACTGAGTGTGAACCCCACTGAGTGTGAGTTTGTTTCACATTGTCATTTCTAGCGTGGATTTCGTAAGGCATGTCGACGTGCAGTAATCAGGAAAAGGTGGACATGAATTTTATGTATGATCTTGCCAATGGGAATGCTCTGGAAGCCGAACGACTGTACAGGCAGCGTTTCCCGAGAAGCCAAGTGGCAGACTGAAAAATGTTCGAGCGATTCCATCGATGCCTGTGTGAAACAGAATGCTTTGTCAGCGGCCTGCATGATACATGGCGTGGCAGGAGTGTGCTGACGCCTTAAGTTGTAGGGGACATTCTACAAAGAGTGGAAGATTGTCGTCCGGATATTAGCACGCGAGAGGTTTCCCTTGCCGTAAATGCGCTCCACTCAATTGTTTGGCAAGTATTAAGGGTCGGAGCATTACAACCTTGTCATGTACAGTAAGTGCAAGCCTTGATACCAGCAGATTATGCGCCACGTGTCGAGTTTGCAAGTTGGTTTTTGCAACAGCTAGCAGCGCAGCCTGATTTCAGTGCACATGTGTTATTCACGGATGAATGCACCTTTACTCGTGAAAGCATTTCTAATACGCACCTTTATCAACGTTTAAATTGTTGCCCATGACATTCGAAACATCCTATATATGCCTTTTTACAGTACTGGAACTACTTCAGTTACAATAATTTAGGAGCTACAGTCTGCTAAATACAATATCTGTTCCAAGACCCTAAAACAAAATGCCTTTTTGGTTAAGTTTGGTTCGTAAATTATTTCGTTTTTTGAAAATTTGAATGATAAAATGGAAAATAACTGTCATTAAAAGTTCTGAAAATGTTAGATTGGATACAGCATTCAACAAGCTGATTTATTTCCCTTCTATGACATCTGAAATATGTAACATATGTGAAGTTTTATAATTTTTATATTCAGTGTTTATTACTTAGTCCTTAATATTTTTTTTTAGATGAGACCTGCAATACAAAAGTTGATGTTCCATTTGGCTTGGGCTCCAGAGAAGCTGGAATCTGAAAAGGTATTTAAAGTATAATTCTCTTAGACTGTATTCTGTATCTAAGATGTTTTCATCCTGAATTTAACAGAGAATAAGCATATTTTCTTTGTTACTGCAATAGATTGTATGTCATAAAAAAACGATATTTTTAAATTAAACCCGGCTTCGAAAATATATGTATATTATGAATGGGAAACGTGTATAATACATTTATATACCAATAATATGCATGTATTTTCACAGCCATGTTGCTTATAAAAATGCCATTCAGCGGTCTGCAATGATTATGCAGCAGACTGAAAAATTCATATGTTATATGGTAAATTGATATAAGTAAGAAGAAAATAAGCACATGCGTATCTTCTATACAATTAAAATCCCTATAAAACGTTAAGAATAGCATATTTTCGGAAATTTCCTAAGAAACGGAAACTAACTCAACAGTTATTCTAAAGATTTCTTTAAAGACTAAAAGCATGCTTTTCTTTGCTTGAAATGTACTCTGAATTGTATATTTTACGACAGAAAATCGTAATAATTCATAAGCCTAAAACTGACTGAGCATTTTTCAAAATGATTTGTTTTACTAAACGTAATGCCTTTATTAAAAAATGTTTTGAGTAAAACGTTTCAGCGATACTTCAATAGGTAAAGAACATTTAGGCTTTTCAACTAAACGTAATTCCTTTATTAAAAAATGTTTTGAGTTAAACGTTTCAGCGATACTTTAATAGTTGGGAACATTTAGGCTTTTCAACTCTTTCTTTATTTATTTTAGTCACAAGATTTATTATGATTTTCTCTTCCAACATTACGAAATATTAAGCATTTACCGTCTTATATTGCTATTGCAGAATTGCTTTCTATAAAGCATTAACAGAAATATATTATAAGCATTACCTGAATGGCATTTTGGACTAATTTTTTCATTATTATTTTAGTTAAGCTGTGCTCTTGCTTCAATTCGAAATCAAGATTTTTACACAAACTCGTAGTTTAGAATGGACTTATAACTCGACTTCAAATAATGTTCTCAGTTCAGCTAACTTATCATTCGCTTTAAGGCTAAAAACGTTACGAATGCCACTTTTGACTTCATGATCAATTAAAGCAAAGCAGAAAACGTCGATTTCTGTGTCTCCAATTTCTGTATCTGCTACTAAATTAATATTTTACAAAAAAAAGCAACGAACTGTCATTCAAAGCAATAGCGTACTCTTTTTATTTCAAATATAAAGTCTCTAATCTCAATAGAAATCTTTCCACTCAAAAAAACCGATTTTAGTGCGTTCAGTATTTCTGTATCATATATAAGCAAAATAATTCATAAACAATTAATTTAATTAAAAGTACGATAAAAATTAGCAACAAGAATCAGTGCAATGTAATAAAGAATTTTCAGCAAAGATTTTTAAACCAATTAAAAAGCATAATATTCATCGTCTTTTGCCTACGCTTTAAACATATAATGTGTTGTAAAACTCATTTATAAAACCCTTTAGTAGAAAACAAATGGAAATAAGATTTGACTCTTCATGCCTATTACTATGTAAAAGCCTATGGAAAACCAAACAACTCTGCATTAAGAACTCAAATGACACTTCAGTAAAGGGATTCTGCTATAAAAAAAACTCCAATTAAGAAAAGTAGAAAAATGTTTAAAATTAACGTTTTAGATTGACAAAAATATTTATATATATATTGATATATACAGACAGATAGGTAGACTTATGTAGATGATAAATATGTAAGATTCCCATACTTAAAAAATTCTTATATTTAAGGGATTTAAATTTAACATAAATCTGCAGAATTCCTAGTTCTTTTAAAGTAATACGATCTTCTTATATATATCTGCTTAGCGAATAAAACTCCACCATGGTAATAAACAATCTTCAAACTACCAAACTATCAAAATAATCTGGTATTAAATTTATATCTGCTGTTCGTATACTTGTATGCTTCCAAAATACCCTAATGCTTCACCAATAGATTACTGTGCTTCTGGAGCAAAAGAAAAGGCTTTTTAAAAGTCAAACCTAAAAAACTGGATATTCTTTGGAAAGCGCTAGAAGAGAAGTTCAAAAGATAACTTACCTAATTTTAATTGAAGATCTCATGTTTTTTAAAATGAAGTTTGTTAATTTAGAGTAAGGTTTATCAGAGAAAAGGTTTTTAATATAACTTTGTTGTTTAAAACGCCAATTTTATTGCAAAAACATGTTCTAAAAATTTGTAAAAGCCTTTGTAATTTGTCATAAAATGTTCGTAGAATTACATATTGACACTCCGCAATAAATAACAGTTTATCATAATTTAATTTTTGGGTGCAACGTTTTTTTTTTTTTTTTTTTTTTTTTAATTTCCAGGAAAAAGCACGCTTCGTTTATATTTATAAAAGTTTTTATACGAAAACCTAAATGGAATACCAAATGGCAAATTAGATAGACATTTATTTTTATGCACAGCATTTATGTGCTTCAGAAATACGTATGTATATCAAGTGAATAACGGAAAAAATGGTTTCATAAAACATAAAAATCCTTGATATCGACTGTGTGTCTTATGTGAGAAATCATGAATGATAAAAAATTTGCATGTGAACTTTCTCAGGGTAAAGTAAAATGCTTGAAGGTCGGAAAAGAAGGAAAGAGAAGTTAGTTTGAAGAAAGTCAAGTGGTGACAGAAATCAGGAGTGAAAAAAAATATTCTTCTAAACTTTCAAAGTACGAGAGTCAAAATAAATCTTTGAGGGTCGAGTGGAGAAGAAAAGCGAATTCACATATTAAGTCAGCGGTCGTCAACCCTTAGAACTTCACGGACCACTACATATATAATTTTATATTTGTCGGACCACGAATAGGAATTTTAAAAAAAAAGAAAAAAGGTAAATGCATTTATACAGTAATAATTAGCAAACTACACATATTTCGTTCACATTGAAAAATTACATTCAGACAAAAAAAGCGACGCACCACGACGCACCGAGAAGATATGAAGCAAATTAGACACAAATTGATATGCATACAGGTTTCGACGGAAAATGCAAAATTTTACATTTTGGCTGCCAGTTAATGAACGGTTACAGCGCTACAGCGCATCTAATCTGCGCAACTGGCAGGATATTTAAGAGGAGAAATTACCATTCCAGGTCATAAATTCTTCACGAATTTCATTCCATGTACTCTGGTAGACAGTAACTATGTCTCGCATACAGGTGCGCGAACGATATCCGCAGATGTCAGAGTTAAAGAGAGGTCGTGTAGTTGAGCTCAAAGAAGCCGGCGTCTTATCGGCGAATAGCTCGACATTTGAGCAGTAGCGATGCCACTATTAGACGATGTTGGGAGAAATGGGTGAACCATGGCCGCACACAGCGTCAAGAAGGAAGCGGTAGGCCTAGAAAAACGACATAACCCGAAGACCGAGCAATCGTCAGAGCGGCACTCACAGCCCCAGATGCATCATTATCATCGATTGTACGTGCAACTACTGCTTCAGCGACCTCAAGGACCATTCGTAGACGGCTCACAGAAAGGGGGCTGAGGTCACGGCGCCCCTTGCGCCGACTACCATTGACCTCTGTACAACGTCAAGCTCGTTTGCAGTGGTGACGGGCTCATTCGCACTGGAATGTTACTGACTGAAGTAGAATAGTCTTCAGGGATAAGTTTCGCTTTGAACTGAGCCCCAATGACCAGCGAAGGCGAGTCTGGAGACGCCCTGGATAGCGGTGGGATACCAACCTGACTGTCTTCCGGCAGACAGGCCGACAACCAGGAGTGATGGTCTGGGCTGCCATTTCATTTCATAGTAGGACACCTTGGTTGTCATCCGTCGCAACCTTACAGCACAGAGGTACGTCGACGAAGTTGTAAGGCCCGTTGTGTTGCATTTCAAATCCCGCCACCCTGGGCTTACATTTCAACACGATAATGCCAGCCTCCACACAGCACATGTTTCTACTGCTTGCCTTATTGCTTGCCGAACATTACCTTGGCCAGCAAGTCGCCGGATCTCTCTCCTATTGAGCAGGTTTGGAGCATTATGGGCAGCGCCCTCCAACCAGTTCGGGATGTTGACGATCTAACGCGCCAACTGGACAGAATTTGGCACGATATTCCTCAGGAGGACATCCGCAACCTCTATCAATTCATGCCAATCCGAATAACTGCTTGCATAAGGACCAGAAGTGGACAAACGCGTTACTGACCTTTTCACTTTGTGAAGCTCTATCACTTCAATAAATCATCTAACTTTTCTCAAACTGTAATCATCTGTTTTTCTGTACATGTGCATCACTTCTACAGATTTTCATTCAGATGACTCTTTCTTGGTGTGTCGTTTTTTTTGGTCAAAGAGTGTCTATGAAAGTATAAAAAATCTTACCTTCTTGTACAGAAAGCTTCATATTTCTATATTACTGAAAAGGAACTTCACAAAAAGCAAGAACAAACCGGCAAACGCAAATCAGTATCAATAAGCTGATATTATTATGAGGCCAATTTTTAATTATTGTAAACATAATAATCATCTCTTGCTCAGCAGTGGTGCAATCGATCAACAGTTAGAGAAAACTAAAACGGAAACTTCCAGTGATGCAATTATAAACAAGAATGCAGATGGTTCTCATAAAAATCCATTAAGTTGCCTATTGACACGGAGAAAAGGAAAGAGAATTCCTGTTCGCGCTATTATTGATAATAGAGGCATACATGGATGCCAATTCTCACTTCCAAATGTCGCTAGATATACCTGCAAAAGTAGCTAAAAGTCGCTAAATTCAGAAGAAATTTCGCTAAAAGTAGCACTAAAATTAAAAAAGAAGTATAATCCATATTCCATAATAGGTTTTTGTTACTCGTCATTTTTTAAACTGAATTTTCGTAAAAATATGAATATTGTCCCAATTTTTCAGCGGACCATCAAAAACGTTTTACGGACCACCAGTGGTCCGTGGACCACCGGTTGGCAACCCCTGTATTAAGGGAATCAGATGGTGACAAAATTTACAGGTATTATATCTCGTGATTTTTCTGGGGTCTCAAATCTGGAGATGAATAAAATCCTTTTGTTCGGTACTTACACTAGTAGAAAAAATTATAAGATTTATGAAACCAAATATTCATAAGAACTTAATTTCATTTTTTTCCATTATCTAACTAAAAATGTTCCACGTGAATTCAACTTCTTTCGAAATAAAATAAAGTGAAATGAATCATCTACAATGATAAAAAAAAGAGCTTTTCATTCCAAACCGCGCTGTTGGAGACAAAGTAAATTGAGGAGTCTGAACAGCATGAATATTGCTTAGAATTTTAGACTCGATTTCCTTGCTTATTTCTGAGAGGTGTGAGCCAGGAGTTTGAAGAGTTTTGGAAACACTGTCGAGTCTAACATTGTGCATTCTCTATGTCAACATACCAGCATAGTAAAGTGATACAGCTAACGCTTCTCATTCTCATTAAGTAACTTCAATATATACCGCATCGCGTTTCAAAATGAAGTTCTTTAATTAATAAAGTATAAATATTAATTTAACTTGTAAAAAATTATTGCATTCCCCTGTGCGTGCTCTTGTGGTTAAGTGGTTAGTTCGTCCAGCTATAATTGAAAGATTTGAGGCTCAAACCTGGAGAGAACATACCTGATTCTTCTCATTTCTTTCAACATACAACCTAATGGTAGGGACCATTTGGTTGTTCCTTATAACCTCATCAAAAAGCAAGTATTTCGTTAGGCTCATCAGACTTTTTTCTATTCTTTTTTTGACGCTGTCTAATGAGTCGCATAGATGTTCATCTTATATTTTTCAAAAATATATTCATTCCATTTTTTTTTCATTTTTCCCAAACTAAAAGTAATTTTGGAATACCGTATTTGATGGCATATAAGACGCACTTTTTTTCCTAAATTTGGTCTCAAAAAAGTTACCTGCGTCTTATACGTGAAGGATACAGTCTTATACGTGAAGGTAATTGCATTCAATAATTATTTATTTGGCTTTTACGAAACGTGAGAACTAAAAGAAACCACGCTATTGAAACTTCTTTTTTTCCTTGTGTGGCCGTCTACATAAGGGTGCGTCTTATATGCCACTGCGTCTTATATGCCGTCAAATACGGTATATCTCTTTGAAAATGAAGCCATTGTTGCTCTGTTCTGTAGTTTAGTTTGCTACCTTAGTGCGCGATTAAGATAATAGTCCCGAATCAAAAATACAAAAATGGCGAAGAAGCAGACGAACAAAACCAGTTTTACGATTATTAGGAGGTACATAGCTTTGCGCTATGCGAATAGTAAACAAATGAAGAAATTGAGCGTAAAATTACAACAAATAAGCATAATATTTACTGCACATTAAACGAAACATTTACTTATGTTAAATTCACATTGAATGTCTTCATTTGTTTACTAAAAGAACTTTTAACAATACTTTCTTGGCTTTAAAAGGCATAGAGAGAATTAAGACTGGTGCAAAATGTTTTGATAAAACAGGATGGCTGGGTTAAATATCTATCCTACATGTGTGTCGACGGTTTAAACAGAGTTTTCTTTCACAATAATTTCTTATACAGTCTTTTCCTACATAATGTGAGTTTGTGTAAAATCCACTAATCCTTCCTGTGTACTTTCTGTCCCAGTGTTTTGTATTTAAATTTATAAATCTTTTCTAAACGTTATTTTAACTCAACGAAAATAAACTCAAATCACTACAAAACATTTCACTACAAAATTCACTTCCATTCTTATTTTATTAGCTTATAATACTATGCAGTCTTTTAAATAAATTAATAAAATAAATGCACAACTTATTTTTAGAATCAACAGATGTTTTATGTGTGTTAATAAGAAATCAGTTTTAATGAAGTTTCACACAAGATTTAAGCAACTTTTATTCTAATATCCAAGATTATTAGTTGAAAAGTCTTTATAACGATAAAAAAAGTTGGAAAAACTTAAAGCATAGTATTTAACTGCTTGACTATGTTTACTCTTCATGCCAGTATCTTTTTATGGCATAGTTTTTAATTTATGTCTTTTTCACATAGTGTGTTGCCCCATTATTGGAGTACCTGGAAAAAACTTTCAGAGAGATGAATTCGAATTTTCTGAAGTCTACTTTCCAAAGGCTGCTGCTGTCTATTTGGGATCAAGTACTTTCAGAAATATCTGCAACGGCCAAATCAAACATTGGGGTATTAATTTTTATTTTTTGTGTCAAATAATGCTATTTTTGCACTATATTATTATAGAAATGCATATTTAGGGTAAGAAAGATCTTACAGCACATCATATTTTGTAGTACAAATAATTTTCCTTGCTATTAATCTTTCAAAATGCTTTTGAAACGCACGTCGAAGCTGTGTAATAGATGTGAAGAAATGCCGTATTTTTCCACTTAACTTTTTAGCGTAAGGTTCTCAAAATTTATTAACTATTCACATAATTTTGCCCTTTCTCGGGGTTTTCAGAAAGCAAGCTTTCCTAAATTTTAAAATGGGTTGACTATGTAGTGATTATTTTCGTCTTACTGATTGATTTGCTTGTGGATTTTGGGTGCATGTGCTCTGAATGGTGAAGGAATAATAAAGAGCTTAAAGAGCTTATGGGAATGTCTAATGTTCATCATGGTCTGAGGATCATTTCACGGAAGAAGACAGACTTGGTTTGTTACTTAGGATAATAGCAGCGGACAACAATAACAGCAAGCGAAGTTCACGCTGCAAAGTATAAATGAATATATAACTAAACACTGGTAATGTTAATATTACTATGTATTCTTATTAAAATATAGGATTTTGAAAAAAAAATAGTATTCTCAGAGTTACCAGTAGTTTGTTTATCCATGAATACTTTTCATTTCTTATGTTCTTATTTTAAACACGTCCTTCAAAAATTAAGTTACTTGCACAAATTCCCCCTCTCTATTTTCGTAGGCTAAAAATTGTTAAGGGGGGGGAAATACTCGAGTAAATTCAGTATATCCAATTTAAACATTAAAAGATGATAAAATTCTATTTTCCTCAGTGAAATTAACTCAAATGAGGCTTAATTTTTGTTTAAAACTAATAATAACTGCGAAACTGATTTAATAAAACTGGTAAGTAATTAGTAGTTATTAAAGCCTCACTAATTTATGTTAATTAAGTTTTTAAATGTAGTTTCTAATCATTAATTCCTAAACTTGATGCATTTTTCTTTTTATACAGAAAGAAAAATCACCTTTCTTCCGTCGACTGTTTACCTCCTTGCATATGCTAGCAGAATTCTTCCACAGAGATGAATATATGCTACCTATCTCCGAAGTGCATAGTCCAATATATCGGGTATTCTTTTTATTTGGTTTCTGTTAATTAGTAACAAAAACACCGTTTTTATTTCAATTTCTTGAATGCTCTTCTTGACAATGAAATTCTCATACACAGAAAGAGTAGTCGTGAACGAATGTAGTGTGTGAAATCACTTTATTTATCTCATCAAATTCGCCATATGTTTTGATTTTCAGTTTAAGACACAGCCATTCACAGGCTGCTTAGTGAAGTCATTTTGCTTATCTTATAATAATCTGTCCCTTGAAGATTCTGCATTAATGCTATTAATCCAGTATTTTTTAATCAGTGCCTCGGGCATTCATTGCTTAGCTATTTAAAACGGATTAGGATAGTTTGCTAACGACATTCAATAGGATCCTACGCAAATTCAATTAGTGAAAAGCGTAATGTCTTATACGAATGCCTTGTAGATAATGTTAAGATGTAGTGAGTGCTATCTTGGTAAATTGTCAAAAAATGCCATTGTTTTAAACTGCATGATGTAGTCAAAATTATATTTCCCTGTGTCTTAATTCAAATTGCTAATATACGAAATTTTTAGTACTTAACGAATTTCTAAAAGCTTCTCCGTTTGTCTTGCACTAACAAGGAAATACGATGCATCTACAGTTAATTTATACAAAATTGCAGTTCTTTCTTGCACTGAATGCTATTTTAGCATAGATTCGCCAACTCTTCTATATAAATATATGACCAGACCAAACACTAGGTTAAGAAGTAAATCTGATCTGTATAAGTGTATGACTAGGTGGATCACCGGATCAAGATCAAACACTGGGATTGGGCATTTTAATGTCAAGAAAAGTATATTCATGTGATATCATTAAATAGTATACAACTTTATATAGTACGTAGTGTATAGATAGCATATAGAGTTTGTTAGCATTAATTAACTAATTATTTTAAGATTTAGACCTTTACTGTCTCTTCATCTTTCCGTTTACACACCAGAATGCAAATTAGCTCGGGTGTCTTTAAGTAAATTGTAAGACAGAGAGTGTTTTGCCTCTCGAGACCACGTTACTAGGTTGCGAGCTCAGATAAGATGAGTAGTCTTCGACCTTTCGTTATAATTACCAATATTTAATCTCTACGCGGGCTAGGTTTCAGCTAACTTGGCTTTAAACTGATCTGTGTAGCCTTCTGCTTCTAATTTACTTGAAATTAAATTTTGTATTTGACTGTAACTTTACGTTATTTCGTCATGAGTGCTGGCTGGCTGAGCTTGTAAGCACTACGTACGCCTTCTATTGTTCTTAGTTTAAAATAAATGGTACTTTTACACTCTTCTCAAGTTTCAATTGTTATTTTAGACTTAGCGATAATTCACTTTGAATCTGTCTAAAGTTTGGTTACAGTTTATGATAGCAAAGAGGATTAGTAAACTTTATAAGTACATAAAAACTCATGCATTATGATACTTATGTATAGTGAATAGCGTAGTGTAAAAGAAATTTTTAAAATAAAAAGTGATATAACTTTTTAAAAGGCAGAGTTTGAAGGAAATGTTAAAAAGTTCAGACACTAAATTTAAATTAAAAATGAAGAAAAGGATTTTATAAAAAAAGCTTCTATTTAAAATTCATAAGATAATAAATGAAGTAAAAGTAAAAAAATAATTTATTGTCTAGTTTAATGGGAACAAGAAATCAATTTTTTGTATACAATATTATATCACGATTACAAAAGCATTTGCCAGCCTTAACAAATTTATAAAGATAATACTTTAGAAATTTACCAAAGTGTCGTCCCACGCTTTTATACTTTTCATAATGAAACTCGATTTCATAGGCGACCATGCTTTAATTATTGACATAAAACTGTGGATCAATTTATGCTGCAAATTATTTAATCACTTGACACCATTAAACGATAAGATGAATTATTTTTCTACTTTTATTTTATTGATTATTTTATGAATTTTAAATAAAATCTTAGTTTATAAAAACTCGTCTTTCAATTTTTTTTTCTTTTAATTTCCATCTTTTCAGTCTCAATCTACACAAAGTAAAATTAATGTAATTAAATGAAAGCGAAATGAAATAGCTACCTATCTTTCATATAACTTCGGCTTTTATTTGCTGCATTGGATTACGTTCATAGTTTTCTATGATATGCATAATTATTGTGGTCTGTGCAACGTTTGAATAGTTGTTACAATTTTTAATGCCAGAGAATTACATATTAATACCCAATTTTAGGTTTACACTCATAGTTATAGAAAGGGATGTCAACCACCCGTGGATAACTGAAGATTTCGCTCCCCTTCCTGTTTGCCAAGAATGGAAAAATTTCATTCTAAAAATCCGTAATACCAATTTGGCGCCCTCTTGATGTTGCACTCTGGATGCCCCCCTTGTCCCCTCCTGCAGCTACGCCATTGTTTGCACTTACATTGTTTACATTGCATACATTTTACATTACGACTGTCACTGTTTAAGTATTTCGAGTGTATCTCAGAAACATGTTCAAGCGGATGAATCTTTGAAGACATTTTAAACTTCGAAAGTACTCTGACTGTGAAACTAAAAGATCATTTTTTTCCTCTAAAAATTGTATCTGTAGAAGAAAAATAGAAAGCTTGATATCTATACTTGAAGTATATAGTAAAAAATATGTAGGATAATAAATTCTTATACTAAATAATTATTTCTCTTTACAGCGGCTTGAAAAAGAATTGAGTCTTCAAAAAGCGGAGACAACCCAGCTGATAGATATGTATTATCTTCAAAGAATGGAAGACCAGGTATGAAATTTTGTTAAAGAAAACAAGGAAGGGAAGGTGTCAGCCAAACATTCTTCCGAAGTTTAACTTTTAATTTATGTAGTAGAAGAGGTGGTTGAGAAAACTATATACTAGCAAGCACATAGATTGATGGTAGATAGATATTTTTAATAAGACTAATAACCCAGATAATATAACAAAACTGTAACATTTAAACAAATTTCCTGCTCAGTATGAATATTCGAGCTATTACGTAAAATCATGCTAAAAGTAACTGCAGTTGCTCAGCGACTAATCAAATCTCGCAACAGGAAACTGATCCAAATATTGGCAGCGAATGCGTAAGAGTACTCTTTCACTGTAGGTACGATACTTCATTTCTACCTAGCAGGCCTCAGTATCACTTCCAAGGTTACTTACCACTCTCAGGGATACTGAAGCATCCGCAGCGTTTCATATTCCAACCTTAATAACAGGTAGCGCCACGCGATAGTAGCAGCAAAGGAAGCTCGCACCAATTCGGCGCAGATATAACTAATCTAATTATGATAATTTAGTGTATTTCATTTCAATAATACAGGTAGTCTTCCAGTTTCACTTTTCTGAAAACTACACTGCTGTTGTTAATTCAACAAGTTAATTAATTATGCGAAAAATTATATACTTTCTTCAGTGTCAGTAGTAAACAGTATGACTGTGAGTTATGATTTAGTTTCATTTCATTTTAGCTCAAAGGACATTCCAGGCATCTGGTGTATTACAACCTTAGTATCGAGCGACACCTTGTGGTAATTAAAAGGGGAGAAAACAGATAATCATTGAGATCATTTCCACAAATAAAATGAATCATTGCGTTTATTTCAAATCGTAGTTTAGCATTACGATAAATCAGTTATGATTTCAAATCTAGCCTAATTTTCGTAAATAAATCGGGCATTTAATGCTTATTAGCTTCTGCAGCTAAGAAATCTACAGCCCCATTGAATGAGTATTACTCTGAGTGCTCTCAATTTTTTTTCTTTCAGGTTTTTGTGTCTCTTACTTAAGCGGATGACTGCTAATTATTTTTAATAGATTTCTGATCTGTTAAAAGTTATATATTACTTTAGATTATCTGTATCTTCAGCAACATTAGGTTTCATACTTAACCCATAGGAAAAAAGATCAAGTGTCTGCTAGGTAATTAGCACTAAGAAATGAAAAAAAAAATTACATCTATGTAAGGAAGTGTGACAGGTACAAAATGTGCTTTTAAGCCAGTTTTAGTTATAAACTTATAAATTAGTTACCAATTATACATAAATTACTACTGAAGGAGAAATACCCAACATTGATAGCATATCCTGCCAGTATGAGATGTCACTTGTCAGGTGTTAAGCAGAGCTACTCTATATCTAGATCAATTTGAAGATAATATGCTCGAATTGCTCTCCATCTCCTACACATATCGTGCCACTCTTGAAGATTAATGTAACTGAATGTTTGAAATAAAGATAAACGCGCAATTCGACCAGTCGTCATTGAGATTATCTAATTTGTGATTTCCAGACTTTGCACTGACAATGTAGCAATGTTTGCTGGCTAAATTCAACATGGAAGCTAATTTCGTCAGTTTCCTGATATGCATTCCGCTTTCCCGCGGCTTAGTTGGATCAGCCACCCATTTGGAAGACATGATTTATAAATATAGGAATTAAATATTTTTTTAATTATTACCATAGATAGATAAGTATTTTACAGTATATTTGGATCAAGAATAAGCAAAATACTTACCTTGTTACCTTATTTACTTGTTATGATGTACCTGTTAATTGCTACAGAAGTACAATATATAGCCGTAGAGGTGTACATACCCATAGTTAATTTCATACGTCTGAATTTTCAAAAAGCGTAAACAGGAATTTGAGATTCTTTCCAAAACAGCAATAAAATGCTTGTTACAAAAATATTAATAAAATAACATTCATAAATTTCGGAGAGATGTGCACAGATAGTCTAAATGCGTAGTGGTTCCACATAGTCTCAATGCATAGATAGTCTGAATAATGCAAAAAGGCACTTGCATCAAGCATAGCATCAAAACTCAGTATCTGTTAATACTGACTGAGTCACTTTAGTTCCACGCATGTATCTGTTGTTTTACAAAATTTTACAAATAGGTAATCAGACTTGCATTACCTATTTGTAAAATTTTGTTACATAGAATTAAGCTTAAGTAATACTGTCTTGTTTCATTATCTCATTTTTTAACTTATTACCATAGATAGATAAGTATTTTACAGGATATTTGGATCAAGAATAAGCAAAATACTTATCTTGTTACCTTATTTACTTGTTATAATGTACCTGTTAATTGCTACAGAAGTACAATATATAGCCGCAGAGGTGTACATACCCGTAGTTAATTTCATACGTCTGAATTTTCCAAAAGCGTAAACAGGAATTTGAGATTCTTTCCAAAACAGAAATAAAATGCTTGTTACAAAAATATTAATAAAATAACATTCATAAATTTCGGAGAGATGTGCACAGATAGTCTAAATGCGTAGTGATTCCACGTAGTCTCAATGCACAGATAGTCTGAATAATGCAAAAAGGCACTTGAATCAAGCATAGCATCAAAACTCAGTATCTGTTGATACTGACTGAGTCCCATTAGTTCCACGCATGCATCTGTTAAAGTATGTTATCAAGACATTAAATTATAGGACTTAAACATAAATAAGTTTAGAAATTTAAACTATGACTGTAAATGTAAGTAAGAAATCTTACAAATAAACATCCCATATAATTAGAAAAGTCAAACAAGTGCTTAGACGGAGATAGCGAACTATAAATCGACAAGAAATCAATGTTTGCCGATATTATTTGAACAAATTTTATGAACTACGAAGCTCACCCCAAAACTAAACGGTCTTTGAGATCCGCTTAAAGCAGTAAATTCACCATTGATAGCTCCTTCAAATAGATTAGTTTGTAAACGTAAATATGCAAAAAAGATTTAAAACTTTGAATGACGGTGCTTTTCACTGATATAAACAAGCGAATAGGGTTGTTACCTATTTGTAAAGTTTTGTGACATAGAATTAAGCTTAAGTAATACTTTCTTCTTTCATTATCTCACTTTTGTATGACTTCTGTTAAATATTTCTTCTTTTTCGAAGAATGCAGCCTTTTCATCTACAAATCATGCTTCTGATTGAATCTTCTTGTGTCTCCAGTATGGGAAGATTAATTCATGTATATTGATTTTCCTGACTATCTCTAAATGCAGACTATTCACCATCATCTCTAAATTAAAATAAAGAAGTAAGTCCAAAGTATGTGAGAGTAAGTTAAAATTATGTGAAAACACATTTCCACGCAAAGGGATCGACAAACTTTCCTAAGTTATTTTTCATAGGCCAAGTAAGTATATACCTAGCTTGTACCAAATCTTTTAAATAATCTTATACTTAGCTAAAGATTATAATTTTCTGCGCAGCTAATAAATTCAAACACCTGTTTTTCCAAGCATGTTGATTCTGCAAAATAATTCTTTGATTTATAATTTATTTATAATTATTGTTTTTTATTTTCAGCATAAACTGCACCATGCTCCTTTTGGTAGTTTGACGGTGAATGCGTATTATGATGTAATGAAACAAAGTGTTTGTATTGAAGGTGAGAAAATGAAGTGTCTAAAAATTATGTTTTTGTTCTTTTAATCCGGCATGTCCAACTGCCGCTAGTGAGCCAAATACTCATAGTTACAAGAGCGCGGGCCGCAAAGATCGGGGAAAAGGCTATTTTCACACTTAATGATAAATTTAAAAAGTAAATAAATGCATAAAATATTACCTAATACTGTAGTTCTCAAAGAAGAAAAAGAAGGAGGTACATGAAAACGACCTTCAAGGTAGATTTATAGCTAGCGTTTCTTTCCTGACAACTGGCATCGTTTTCTTGTAACTAACTTTCAGATGTCTGGAGACATGCTGCTCGCATTAGCGATTTTTAGAAGTCAGATGAACGCCTGTTAACTTCGATCTCGTTGGGAGATTTGTTCCTTTCCATTAATAAGAAACTTTGTTCTCATTAATACATATTTCCGAACATGGATATCACGCACAATACGAACTTGCTAGTTTCTGATCGCCTCGCAGGCAAGTGTTTGTAAAATTCGGAGAAACACGAATTTTTGCTTTACTTGTAGAAACATTAGGTATTTTGGATGCAGGGAGAAGTGAAAAATGAGCAACACCTTCGCCGGAAATCGAACCACGGACCTCTGGAATACGCGCCCAGCGTGCAGACCACCACCCTACGAAGGCATGCTAAGAAGGCGGGATAAATACCTTATATGCTCCCCTTTTAAAAAGCGACTTGGGTAGGGGACCCAATCGCCAAATCCTGGGTGCGGAGAATCATCATCCATCGCCCTTTTAGTTCGGGCGTCACTGTAGAGACATTAGGTATTTTTGGAAGCAGGCAAGATGAAAAATGAGCAACGCCTTCGCCGGGGAACGAACCGCGGACCTCTGAAATACGCGCCCAGCGTGCAGACCACGGCTACAGCCGAAAAGTAGCAGAGAAAACAACGCAAGGAGAAAACGTCGTGGTACAAAACATCGTGGGAGAAAACATCGCAAACAGAAAACATCGCAGTCCTAAAATATCGTGGTCGAAAATAAAGCAGTTTAAAAACATCGTCGTCAAAAATATCCTGGTAAAAAATAAAGTACTTACAAATCATCGCATAACGATAACATCGCATACATACGTTTTTCACATCGCATATGTAACTGACTTTTGTCATAACTAACAAATCGACATCCAAAACATTTGTTGCACGCTATACATGAAAATGTTCACGACACTTTAAGAATAAACGGAAACAAAACAATTTGTAAATTTCATTAAAACAATATCAGATTAACAAATGTGAAAGAAAATAAGTTGATCATGAACTAAGCAATTTTTTAGAGGGAACCTCATGCAGTTATTTATCTTCCTATTTAGGCTCACCAGCGGCCGAACGGTAAAGTCGATGAACACTGGTAGTTCGGTCGGAGGTTCGAATCTCGCGAACGGGCTGGCTGCATGGGCGTTTTCGTGGTTTTCCCCATGTGTAACGTGTATACGAGCCAGTTTCCCTTAGAAAGTCCTCCACGGAGGCATCCCTCCCCTTAGGCAGATAGCCCTCGTGTGCTTTGCCATAATTAAATACACCATTATCTTCCTATTTCTAAGCATTTTTCATAAAATATTATCACTTTATAAAAAAAGCTTAATTTATTAATGACATAAAGCTTAATAGAATTTTAAATTTATATACTTAATTAAGTATATAAATTTAATATTCTATTAAACTTTTTAAGTTGCATTAATTTTCTACTCATTTTCAATTTTTAAATGCTTAAGTTTCCTTCTTATTTTTTCACCAAAAAATTATTAATTCCTTCAAATATATGAAATATAGAAGAAAAGAATCTCTCATTTCTTCTTGCGCTGTATGTTCTTTATACGAACATGTATTTACAACTTTCAAAACCTGAAAACGCATGTGTACGATCTTATCGTCATGTGATCATTTGTAGGTACTTTATTTTTTACCACGATATTTTTAAACAGTAAAGTTTTTGAACCGCTTTATTTTCGACCAAGATATTTTGTACCACGATGTTTTAGAACTGCGATGTTTTCTCTTTGCGATATTTTCTCCCGCGATGTTCTGTACCGCGACGTTTTCTCCTTGCGTTGTTTTCTCCGCGACGTTTTCGGCGGGCACCGCAGGCTACCACACTACGAAGACATGCTAAGAAAACAGGAGAAATGCCTTACATACTGGCCTTTGAATTCACTGAATTTTTGCTTTAAAGTAATTAAAAATTCCATCTGTAAATGGTGTAGCACCTTGTTAATGTCGGCTGAGAAAATATTTTTGTTAAGAGACCTTTTTATCCCCCAATGTTGTATATGCGCCTCAATTATGGGATGGAATTCTGGTTTTTATTAACGTACAGAAGGTGTTTACACATTCTTAGAAGGATTTCAGTGCTGTTTAGTGTTAAAATATAAAGAATATTTTTTGAAATGTTCGATCTGATAACCTTTTTTCTAGACTATAGGTCTGCATTGCGATTTCGATGATAGATGGGCTTTTCATAAAAATGTCAAGGGGTATTGATTTCTATTCCTCTTCCACTACTTTCCAGAGTCTATCAATCGTGGCGGGTTTACGCTTAGAAAGATCTATTATCAAGAGACCAAAGAGCCAATAGTACACAGGTGAAACATCATGGGAAGACTTTACAAGAATATGTTTAAAAGGTATAAATGCAGTACCTATACCAGTCTTTCGCTTTTCAAGAAATATAGCGGTACTTTCCAAAGTATGAATTGCTGCTTTGATTGATGAAGTTTCATTCTGTGAAATTAATGTCATAAAGAAATGGAACATTTTTTGTATAAGTATAGGACGAAAGGTTTTCTCTTGCCAGTAGGTTGAGTTGATTTTAACATTTTTTCTTTTTTTTAATTTGCCATTGTAAGAGAATCCTGCAATAATCATAAACTCCTTACTGAAACTTTCGTTGCATTCACATAACCAGGTACGTACATTTTTTTCTCTCTGTTTTCGATAATAAATATATATTTTATTGTTGTTGTTGTTGCATTCATTTAGGCTAATTCAAGCTTCATCAAATGTCACAATGTATATCCATTTAATTCCTAAATAGTTTTCATACGGGGTTCTACAAATTGTTCTCCGTTGAGACGCATCCTCAGCAAAAGCTGGTGAACATTATGTATTTTTAGCTTTTTTAAGTTAGAAATCTTGATTTATTATTTTATTTATTGCTGCTACAGATGGTGTCCGCCAAAAACATCGCAGAGGAATACGTCGCGGAGAAAATAAAGCAGGGCGAAAATGTCGTCGAATAAAACATCGTAGGAAGGTGAGAAAAAGGCAAAGATAAAACATAGCAGTTCTAAAACATCGTCATCGAAAATATCGTGGTAAAAAATAAAGCACCTACAAATCATCGTATGACTATAAAATCGCAGACATACGTTTTTTAGGCTTTAAAAAAGTTGTAACAGCGTGTTTACATAATGATTTGTGACGGCAAGAAGGAGGAATGAAGTATATTTTTAAATTCGAGTCTATCCAGTGACTGATGCTAAAAGCGAACAGATTGCCGTTAATGTTCCTTTCTGAACTAACCAGCAAGAGTAATCGAGCCGTAAAATCTCTGAACACTGGTAGTTCGATCCGGCGAGTGAATTGGCTGCATGAGATTTTCGTAGTTTGCCTAAAGTATAACATCGGTCTAAACCAGTTCCTAAGAAAGTTCTCCATAAATCAGATAGCTTTTTAAGCAGATAGCTCTAGGGTGCTTCGCCATAATTCAGTAAATCATAAGCCCTTACTGAAATATTATGTAGATGATATGTTTCGTCATAACTAACGACTCAGCATCCAAACAATTAACTACACTCCTTGCATGAAAATGCTAATGACACTTTAAAAATACGAATGATATGAAACAAAACAAGACTTAATTTTTCACTGAAGGAATGTCAGATTAACAAAGGGGAAAGAAAATAATCTGATAGTTTGATAAGTAACTGAAAAATTTTAACCGAAGTAACCTCATCTTCCTTTTCCTAATCAATTTTAGATTACTTTTCTCATTATAAAATATTAATAAAACTTTATAAAAGAGTTTAATTAATTAATGACCTTTATTAGTTAACTATGTAAGCTTAAATATTTTATTAAATTGATGCAAGTTGATTTTATTTTATACTCATTTTCAGTTTCTGATTAAGTTTCTTTCTTACTTTATCAGGAAAAATTCATTAGTTCATTGAAAAATATAAAATACAAAATAAAGATATTGGTTACTCCTACTTGCGCTCACAGATAATTGCTCGAATATGCATTTACAACTTTTAAAATCTGAAAAATGCATAGCTGCAATGTTATCGTCATGTTATGATTTACAGGTACTTTATTTTTTACGACGATATTTTCGATAACGATGTTTTGAAATTGCGAAGTTTGTGAACTACTTTTTTTTTTTTTTTTTTTTTTTTTTTTTTTTCTGACGACAATGTTTTGTATTACGATGTTTCAGAACCGCGATGTTTTCTCCTTGCTTTCTTTTCTTCTTTCACGCGATGTTTTGTCCGACCATCTTTTCATCTTGCGTTGTTTACTCCGAGACATTTTCCTCCGCGGCGTATTTGCCTGTAACCGCAACAGAGTATTTAAAACTCTGCAATTTCCGGTGGCGGATTTTCTGTTACCAACGATTTAACTTTAGAAATACTAGAAACAGTCCGTAGCTTTTCGGATGTTCGTTTGGAGTCTTCTTTCCACGTAGAAGTAATGACTGACGGTTTTTTCCTTTACGATTAATAATGTTCCTTACTTTGCGCTTATAAATTTTAAAACAATGCATTACACGGTGTTTCTGAATTACGGAAAAGGAATATTTAATGTTCAGAAGTGCAAAACCATATCCTTCAATCCACAGCTTGTTTACATGCGACATTTTAAAAGACGAATAAATTTTTAAAAAGCAAACAATATTCTCATTTTAAACAATAAATTTTTATTCTAAGACATTTGCTTTTTTTAAGTTCTTTATCGAAATCGTTCTAAAAGTGCGTAAACCCCCTCTGTATTATAATTATATACCTTTTGTTATTTTCTCGGGATGAACCATGGGCAGCAAAGGCCGCATGCGCCCTGCGGCCATGAGTTTCACGTGCCTGCTCTTAGTGATATTTACGTAATTAATAAAAGTCGCAATAAAGAAGAGTAATAATAATAATCAAGAGAGTGATAATAATAAAACGCAAAGAGTAATAATAATAAGCAGCAAAGACTCGCGCTAAGAGTTGCTTTGTATACCAGACAACAAATTGCTTAAAAATAGATGAATTTCTGTTGTTCAAATTGTAAACTTACAGGACTGAAGATCTTCAGAAGACTGCTTCAAAGATCATATTATTAACGGGAAACTGTAGCACTGAAAATCATTTTCATTATTCAATGGAATTTGATTTTTTTTTCGGATATTGTGCATCCCTTCATGAGTTATGCAAGTTGAGTTTATGAGTTTTTTGTTTTATTTCATGCCAACAGAACTGGCAAGTATAAAAGGAAACTATCTTGCTATGAAGGTAAAAGGTGTCTCTGTAAAATTCATTTGCAAAAGTTTCAGTAAAGCAGGAATCTACTAATTAATCTAACATTGTACATTTCAACGCTAATATCAAGGTAATGAGGTAATCATGGTTTAGAACCCAAAGAAAGAAAGAAACGACACTTTTCTATTAATGGAGCGAAATGTGAGCCAAAGCGCCAAATATGGTAGCCTGTTATCGTGTCATGAAAAGCTGTGCAGTGATAATGCAAATAATGTTTAATATGTCATGCACTCGGAGATCTGTTTTCTCTTAAAAAAATCAGAGAACTGCAGAAATGCGACATTGCGCATATTAAATATTACTTTACTTTGCAAGCTAAAGCAGCTTTTTTTTTTTTTTTTTTTTTTTTTTTTTCAATAAAATGTTCCTCGGAAAGATCTTATGAAATTCTGTAAAACTCAAAGTAAAATCAATTTTCGTAGCTCAAGTTTTTCATTTTAATAATTTATCTAATGTTTACGATAAATTCAATATCTCAAATACGTTCCCTCATCATAAATGCAAATATTGAAAAACTCAGTTTCGAAAGTCAAACAGAATATAAAGTTCTTCAGAAAAATTTGTAACAGTTAGTGCACTATTTGCGAAGATTCTTTGGCTTTCATATATACGTAAGATCGATTTGAAAATAAACAGAATGTTCTTCCAAATTTTCACAAAATTTCACATCAAATGTTGCAAAATACCTCTCTGCAAAGTGTGTATTTTCAATTGCCAGTTATGCGTTATTTTATCGAAATAATCTTCCAATTTATTTTTTATGAACTTCGTCACTTCAGCTGGTAGAAAGCTAAGGCATTCTTCGATGCTTTTATTCTTGCATTTTTCGCTGTAACCAATCAACCCATTATTTTATTTTGAAGAAGATTGAAAACGCTTCTTTAAACTAAAAAGCGTTTCTCCAAAAGTTTCATTTTGCACAAAGCTTAAGAATTGCCCACCATACAGGCAATGTATTTTAAATTATTTCTAATTTTTCTTGTTAAATCTGCCTTTTAATAAAGACGCCCTAAATGTTATCTTATGTGATTGCACTACTTCTATATCACTATAACTGTTTTCTTTTCAAGAGGACCACCAGCTGCCGAACGGTAAAATAGTTAAACACTATTTGTTCGGTGTGAGGTTTGAATTCCGCTAACGGGCTGGCTGCATGGGCATTTTCATTATTTCCCCCGTGTGTAGCGTGTATACGAGCCAGTTTCCCTTAGGAATTTCTCCACGAAGGCAGCTCTTCCCTTAAGCAAATAGCCCTTGAATACTTTGGGGTAATCAAATGAACCAAACCAGCCTTTTGAGGAGAACAAACGAACATGATATTCATACTATTTTTTTCTCCATTAATGACTTAAATCTGCCGAACTGCCAGAAGTTAACTGTTAGCATTAGGTCAAATTTTCCTCCTCGGCAAAGAGAGTATTCTGTTGCTATTATTTCGTACTATTTTTACTTCTGTAAGGTTTCAAAATCCTTATTTTTAATCGCTTTTAATTAAATATACTATTACCTTCTCTCTGATATCCGAAAGTTGTGCTCTTTAAGTTGGATTACGATTAGTTACTCTTATTATTAATTAATTTACTGGTTATTTAATTTACTGATTTAATTTATTGGCTAATGCTTATGCTAAGGAATAATGCAATTTCAGTTTTAATTTAAACCTTCCAAACGAAAATTTTCCTTTAACGTACTATCAGCATAAACTCAATTATAAAAGTAATGAATGAATATTCAAAGAGGGATAAAAACTGATTTCTTTAAATCCACGAAAATTATCAGTAAATTTCAAAAACATTTTTTTCAAGTGCATCAGTTTTAGTAAATACCTATGGACATTCTTACTTATATGCTAATCTTTTTTATGAAATACACATTGTTTTAAAATGTGCATGTCTTTTAATAAAATTTCTAATATGAATGTTTAATATAATTTGGAACTTTTTACTATATAGAACTTTTTTTTCCAGTTATCAGTGCCAAGGACCTAATACCTTGTGACCCAAATGGTAAGAAATGTCAAATAATTTGTAGTATTTAAGGATGAGTATTTCTGAAGAATTTAAAAACTCAGTTTGTATTTTCTCAAATACTTTCATAAGAAAAAAAATATAGGCATAAAATATAATTGTACGTAAAACTCAGAGGCGTCAGTAAACAAAAGTAAAAAATACAGAATGCTTATGGTGCTTATGGAAGCTTATGGTGCATAAGAGACTGCGTAATCTTTTCTCGGAATTTTAGCCATCTTCTCTCCAATGAGTTTTAGTAAGTTCGGATAAGTAAGGCCATATTGTAAGTATAATAGAAACTGGACTTTCGAGCGCTATCAGACTGTTTTTGATTATCTTGTAGGGTTTATATTTATTTTAACTAACATTTATTTTAAGTTTAAACTATCTTTCCTGTCAAGCCTTTACTTTTCCCTAGAATTGCCAATGCCAGAGTATGTAAATTGTAGTAGAACGCGCAGAGTATTCAAATTTTAGCAGAAGTAAGTTGAGTTTAAATAGAAGGGAAACGAGATTGTATGTGTGCTTCTTGAATCGCGAACGTGAAGGTTGCTAGGTAGAAATTTAAGAACCGCGCGTTTCGGCCTGTGTGCCTATTTCGGCAGTTCGTTGAATCTTCAACTGCTTAATTAGTAAGCTTGCTGAATCTCAGCTGTATTTTAGAACGCGGTTAAGTTAGTTACGATTTTAGAGCCTCGTAGGTAGTGATCTCGTTATTTATTCCTCCTGTCATTTATTTTTAGTTTCACATTTTTGTTTTGTTAAACCGTCGGGTCGGCTTAGTTTGTGAGCGTCAAGTGAACGCAGCTGTTATTTCTAAAGTGGAATAAAAAGGGATTTAAACCCTTCTTACGAGTTTGTGTAATTTCCAGTTCATACCAGTCACTACCACTGTTGCTGATAAGTTGGGGCCTCGCAACACTATAATCTTACTGATCATACTTTTCAACCATCTTATCGTTATGATTTTCATCTTAAGATCATTATTATCTTCCATCTTTTCATCCTATGACTATGATTTTCGCCTTCTTCATTTCTTGAGTTTCAAACCTTATCTTCCATTAAAAAATTAAATAAAGTATTCAGACTGACTGCATGAACTTAAAATAACTTTTCCTCTGATATAAGCTACGTGATATCATTCCATATTCTGACCAGGGCCACCGCTAAACATTTTGCCGCCTCTAAATTCTCTGTCAATTTAATCCCTGAGGTCCTAAATTCAGTTTAATCTCTGCGGGTACTAAATTCAGTTCTCCGTCATCTCCTTAAATTCTAAAAATCATGCCACAGCTAATTTCCGCTGTCCGGTGACTCCCCTAAATTCTAAAAATTTTGCTTCTCGTTTCTTCTCTAAAGTCTGCACCCCTAAATTCTGCCGCGCGGTGCGACCCTGCCAGTTACGTCAGCTCTACGAGAATTTCTCGAGAAAATTTAATAAAGCCTAATCTAGTATTTAAATACATTAAATGAAATTTATTTAAATGAGGTCCTTTATTAAATTGTTATAATTTGAACAAAAAGCTCAACATAAAATTTTCTCTCCACTTCGCTATTTCATGATTATAACCATGATTCACATAAAATTCCGTTCTTCATCTTGCAATTATGTTTGTCAATAGATGGCGCCACTATACTTTTAACCTGAGTTTCAGTTCTAAAATTTTTCTCTCTTGCTAAAAAGAAAAAAGCTAAAAATGAAGAAAGTATTTATTTTAATAATTTGCAAAAATGTACATTCGTTTCACTCAGTACGTAAATGTCACAAGAAATGGGAAAGTTCTTTTATACGTATGAGATTATCTTTCACAAAAATGTAAACATTTTTTTATTTCCGTGAAAAGTTATTTTGATTTCACTTTGTTTATTTCAGGTTTGAGTGATCCTTTCGTGATTCTGCAGCTGGTACCTAAGCACTTGTTTCCTAATAGCAGCACTTTCAAAACCAAAACTCATATGAGGACTCTTCATCCTGTTTTTCAGGAATATTTCGAGTGGTAATATATTTGTAATTTTAATCCTGGAATAACCATCTGCGTACCTTCCTTACTTAATCCAGGGCTCAATATCTGAAATTAGTAATGCCGGAGCCCAAGGGAAAACCGTCAGGAAAGGTAGACATAATTAAATAAATAAAATAAAGATTATTAAAATAAAATAAAATATAAGGAAATCGTGATTAAATTACTGACAAAGAGTTAATGAGTAAAGTAAGATACCGGGTTCATCTTATTTGGGGTTTCGGCTGAAATAACAATATTGACTACTTTGTTACAACATTGCATCCACAGATGGCGCTACTGATTGAAACACTATTTTACTTTTCAAACTGGACAGTTTCTCGAAATTCTAGTTTTTGCTCATTTTTCAAAATGATGTCAAAGCACTAAAGAAGAAACTTAAGCAAATTTACAATATTAGTGTTAAAGACAGCAGCAAACTTACTTGTGGAAATGAATGATTCATTTTGTAAATTTTTAATTTGTGAACCTAGGGTATAATTTTCAATCGCTAATTACGATTTAAAGCAATCGAGACTAAAAGGAATGTGTATTTACGTACTATCGCAACCACCTTGGTAAAACATCACCAAAGCTTTAGAACACAACAAACTGGTGACCACGCGCAAAGCAATTATTCAGGCAACCATGGCGGATGACAAATATTCAGTTTCCAACGTCGCTATTTTCGTTATGTGTTCTTTTTGTTGTATTCCAAGTTCCAACAGCTTTTATAGAAAAAATATGATTATTTTTTGTCTTAAACTAGATTTTAAAATTTGCGCTAGTAGGATTTTCCTATAATAGAAAATAAATAGGTGACAGTTCTGCAGGAATACATTATTTTGCCACAAAATCGCTAAACGAACAGTGCTTCGAATTCTTTCTCAAACCAATCGCTACGAAATGTCCACCGCAACAAAAGAAAAAAAAAACCGTTTATAACTAGGTTTACTAACGGCCTTTTGAAAGAAATATATAGTTGAAACATAAAATAAATATTTAACACATCATTTTTTACAAAAAAGTATTTTTTCCCTTTCGTAAAACTGCGCTAAGGTGATTCCGATAATGCGTAAGTACCAAGGAGTGACCCTGCGTGTGTGTGTTTGATTATGCAGAGCACTCGAGGGCTATCTGAATAGGGGGAAGGACGCCTTCGTGGAGGACTTTCTAAAGGAAACTGGCTCGTATACACGTTGCACATGGAGAAAAATCATGAAAACTTCGGTGTAGCCAGCCCGTTTGAGGGATTCGAACCTCGGACAGAACTACCAGTGTTCAGCGATTTCACCGCTCGGCTGCTGGTGGGCCGGGCTGACCTTGAATTGAGTTATTATTTTTTTTTTCACCCAACAAATTGCTGAGTATTGTGAAAAAAAAAAACCTCGGTTGAGACTTTTCCTAAGAGCACCTTTTATTTACTTTAAATCGGGCCAACCAGCGGCCGAGCGGTAAAGTCGCTGAACACTAGTAGTTCGGTCCGAGGTTCGAATCCCGCGAACGGGCTGGCTGCATGGGCGTTTTAGTGGTTTTTCCCATGTGCAACGTGTATACGAGCCAGTTTCCCTTAGAAAGTCCTCCACGAAGGCATCCCTCCCCTTAGGCAGATAGCCCTCGTGTGCTTTGCCATAATTAAATAATCCAATCCAATCCTATTCACTTTAAATCACAGATTTATCGATCTCCTTCAAAATAGTTCCTATGGGAAGGTGTAGATTTTCTTGTTGACAATCTTCATAGCAGTACTGGAGCTCCGAAATTGAAATGGCCTACAGTTGGTCAATCACAATCTCACAGTCTCCTTATTGTTTCCTTTGGTTCTAAAATGGTTCCCTTTAAATGAATTTGCATTCTAGGAAACAAGAAAAATAATTAGACTGAGGTCGGACTAAGACGGAGATTGTGAATAACGGGGATGCAGTTTCGAGCCAAAAGCACATTTACAAAAAATGCCGCGTGACAGAGTGCATTATCATGATAAAGTTGCATTCATTAAAATTTGCTGAACATTCGTGTGATTTAAACTTAACTTTTCTGCTACTTATCTCGGTCAATTGAAGTTTTGCAAAAGTTTCGGTAGCTTTGCGCTCCAGCTTGAAACAGAGCTTTATGGCGCATCTTTCCTCCAAGTTCAGATCATTCGGATCATATTCGTGATGCACAAAGAAAACTCATTTCATGATAAACGCAGTTAAGGAATAGATATGAACTCTGCGGGATGTTGTCGTTTGAACTAAAGCTGTAGGAGAGATTGATATCAGTGCTGTGTAAAGGGCAACCGCGCTGATCCTCCCTGTTGAGCACTATGCAACCAGCGCGATTAATTTGTTTACAGACTTCGTATTTCTCCATTTGATAGCCTAATTTTCTGTTTTGTACTCATATTGAAATTGTATATTACTTTCTGATAACTGAAAAAAAAAATGTTCAGCTTACAGTATTCGAATTTAAAATTTGTACGTTCTTGTTAAATGAAAAGAGATGAACTAATATCGAAAAACATTTATATTTTGTCATCATATTTTATTACCAAATTTTTTCCGTCTTATACCATACGCAAGCTAACTAATTGCTTCTTATAGAAAGGAGAATACACTGGTGTGCAAAAATTAAGGACGAAGCGGAAAAATTAGCATATCAGCTGAACGAAGAAGCAGAGCGGACAGAAAGACCAATCAGGAGATTAAGTAAGGTGATGTACGGTAGCACATGCGCAGATATGCAGGTAGACGTAATAGGGGAGTGTCTGAGTAGTATAAAGCATGTGTCGGTGTAAGATCAGTATTTCTGGCAAAGAGATTGCACGCCGTATAGCAGTTAAAATCACACCGAGTTTGCCTCAGCGAGAAATGGCGAATAATCAATCTGTTAGACGACATCTGGATGCTTTTACAAGAGATCGAATCATTGGGAAGTTGGAGGAAGGCCGCAGTGTGCAAGTGTGGCTGCAGAGTTCGGAATTGCTCACAGCATCGTTTCACGACTTTGGAGACAATTTCAAACTACAGGAACAGCTATCCGGGGGTTTAGTAGTGGTCGTCCACGAGGAACCACACCCGCAGATGAACGGTATATTGCCTTACAGGCCAGAAGAAACAGGCGGCAGACAGCGGGAGAAATCGCTAGACACACGACACAGGCGACTGGACGACCGATATCGCGTTTTACCGTGGCCAGAAGACTGCACGGTGGTGGTCTGTTTGGACGACGCCCTGTACGGTGTGTACCTCTAACGCCTGCCCATCGGAGAAGGCGTTCTCTGTGGTGCCGGGAACACCGGAATTGGAGAGACAATCAATGAGGACGAGTACTCTTTACAGATGAGAGCAGATTCAGTCTGAGTAGCGATTCTCATCGCATACTCATCTGGAGAGAGCGGGGAAGCCGCAATCATCCCTCGAACATCATTGAAAGGGACAGGTATGGGGGTGGCGGTGTTCTCGTTTGGGAAGGCATCATGCTTGGTAGTCGTACAGACCTTCACATCTTCGACGCAGGTTCAGTCAATGGAACCCGTTATTGTAACGAGATTCTTCTTCCATATGTGCGTCTTTTTAGAGGCGCTATGGGTTCGCAGTTCCTTTTCATGGACGACAATGCACCATGTCATCGCACAGTAGCTGCCGAACAGCTCTTAGAGGGTGAGGATATTGAGCGTATGGATTGGCCGGCACGATCTCCGGATCTTAATCCCATCGAGCATGTATGAGATTTTCTAGGCAGACGCTTGGCTGCTCGTACCTTACCACTAGTAACGATTCCGGAGCTTCGATTGGCGCTGCAAGACGAATGGGCAGCAATGCCTCAAGAACTCATTGACACCCTCATTCTCAGCATGGGCAGACGCTGTGAAACCTGCCTAGCAGTCAGGGCAGATCATATCCCCTATTAAAGACCGGATGTTTCTTGCTGGACACCCATCACAGGGATCTTTCGGCCTTCAGTCGCATTGCGCTCCATGCTACTTTTTCAATAAAGCTTCTTTTTATCCCTCTGATTTCTCTTTTAGTAAATGTTGCTTACATTACTCATGTCCTTACGTATTGGGGATCTTACGGTATTAAATGTGTTGATTTGGAAAGCTTTTGTACAAAGTTATATTGAAAAACCGTCTCGTCCTTAAATTTTGCACACCAGTGTATATTGTAATACCTTTTTTGTAAATTTAACATTTCGGTGCTCTAGCGGCAAGCATTTTGATAAGGCGTCTAATCACTGGCTGCGAGGTTATTCGTAAATACATCATAGTTTAAACTCCACGGGATATTTTATATCTTCATTACTAAATCAATTTACCTTAAATGGTTAGCAAAATGGCAGCAGAAATTTCCATGCTATCATTAGCGTTTTAGTGCCTGAAGCTATTTACTACATTACCATTAAAATCTTTCAAGAAATCCCCTTTCGTAGCTGCAAATGTTCTCATTAATGATCATCAAAGGACAAAATTTATGCTTACATTAAATCGCTCAAGATTTATTCACGTGCTTTTAAAGTATAAATTTCCAATTGACTTAATTCTTTTCAGAAAGACTTTTCACGCAGATACTGCCATTTAATAAACTTGCTGTTTTAAGAAATGTCCAAAGTTATTCTGATTTCATGAAATATCTTTGCGGTATTAATGTAACACAATTTTTTTTTTAGAAAGAAAGAAAATATTGTCTTAAAAAGAGCTAAAATGATTATGTTTTAAATTATGTGACTGTGTGGCTCTTACTTTGAAAGACTGCAATCTTTATTCGTTTCTAATTGGATTATATCGCTTGCTGGAAAGATATGTTAATAAACTTATGTTTCCATAATATGTGCACTTCTTTTACATTATAAGTGCGTATTTTTCACGCAAACACTAGATGCTTCCCATCTCTGAATTTTATACATTTATTTGAAATTACATCGTATTACATCCTATTTAAGCCTCGTTTGTCCCATCCTTCTCAAGAGATTTAAAACTTTTTGTATTATTACTTGTGCTGGCACTTCCTTATAAATACGGCCGCCGCTATTTAAACTTTGACACTATGCCCTGCAAATTGTTGCCAAACGGTCGGTAATAACCATGGTCATTAATAGATTGCCTGTCACTAGAAATGCATTGGGTTGGGTTACCATTTTGAAGGCTAATGGATTTAAAGTTGTAAATTTAGTGGTTGCAAGTTGGAAATCCTTTGGAGGTGAGAATACTTTTGACTATATATTATAAGCAATAGCGGAAATAATGCGGCCGTAAATTGTATGCAAAAAGTGGACATGTTTGCTATGTAAGTTTTTACGTTTTTCTGAATCAAAAATTGGCGCCGTAATAAGAAAGCGCCTTTGTGTAGTTTGTTATTTCGATTTTACTCCGTATTCTTCGTTTAGTAGTAGTTTAATAAGATATGTAATTTCATGCTCATTCCAGGCCCGTGAAATGGGAAATATGTGGTGCCATTTCTGCAGCCGTAAATTTTGTGGTGATGGATTACGATTACATGAGAAAAAATGATTTCGAAGGAGAGGCTTACTTGGCTCTTCATGCTCTGGCTGGTGCGGATGAAGAGAGAACATCGGACCCTTTAGAGCTTGTTCTCATGAGCCCTAGCAATAAATGTAAGTTTTATGCGACATTTTCTTATTTCTTCTGAACATTTGCGAAGCTAAATGAAATGTTTATATTGCTACAAATTTTGACAGGTTAAATAATTGAATTGTATGCATGTTTTGTATCTTTAAATTGAATGCTGTAAGAAGCTATAAATATTTCTTCTCTAACAAAATACAATTTATAATTGAAAAACATAGTAATTGAGAAAAGTTTACCTTAAGTTGCATCTCCATTGTCAAATGAATTAAAATATCAAATGTAATCCTTATAAATATGTTGAGCTTCCAATATTTTCCAACATTCCTTAAAATGCTAAATTAATGCAAAATATCCTTCATGCCTGAAATTTAAATTTGCAGCTATTTAACTTCAGAAGAATCAAAATAGTATTTCTTTGAATTTGATTTTTCCTAGTAACAAAGTAACAATGTGGCTTATTCTTTTTCTAGTTGTTCGAAAATGAAAATTCACATTGCATGTTTAACATTAGACGTGCATACTTATAATTTAATTTCGGAATTTTTAAATTATATGTATCAAAAAGGAATTTCACCTTTTTCAGGAATGATAATTTTTTGTTAAAACACGTGAATAATTTAAATTCACTATATATTATCAAAAACGCTTACACTATGCCCTTGGAAAAACAATTTTCTTTTATAATTTATGAAATCAGTTTACCGATGCATTCGTCTATGCTAAACCCCAAGTATAAAAATTTGATGATTTGAATGAAAAAAATATTTCTTTAAAACAGTGATTCTGAATCGTTTTCTACAGGGTCTAAAGCAAAATTCTTACGTACCTCTATAGGATCTAACTCTCTTTGGCCACATAAACTAATCTAGATCCTACTTATGAACCTCGCGACTTCTCGCACAGGCGTGAAATAATATCAGGACAGAAGAAGGATTAAAATAACCCTTTATTATTTTAAACAATGAACAGAAATGCACGTAATTCGTGCTTTACAGGTAGCACCGACAACTTGCGGTGGAACTTAAGCGTTGTTACACAAATCAATTCAAGTCTTAAAAAGAGTAGTGCTGTACTAGCACATTTCAGTTACAACTAATGAGGTTTACAGACATATTTTATTGAAGAAAGCTTGAGATATGAGAGAATCGTTCAGGGTTTTGGAAAAGTGGGCCAGAAAGGTCATTTGACTCTATTTTGTAACTATATTTAAAGCAATGCGTTTTAGTTACCAATTTATATTCGGTAACAGCTAGTTATTGCACCTCAGTACATTTCTTTGTGTTGATGCACAGTTATTAGGCGATGGTTTGTCATATTGTAATTAGCCATATTCTTCCATCCTTGCTTTGCTGTTGAGACAGATTTGATAGCATTATTAAGTCTCTGCCAAGAGGAGCTGCAATAAGTTTAAAAAAAATTAGTTTGCATACTTTATTAGAGATAGACCGAAGATGTATAGACTAAGGCCATTTATTCTAAAACAAAAGAGGCAGCTGACGGGTTTTCGTTTGGATCCATGGAGGTTATTAAGTGATGGTTTGTCATATTGTAATTAGCCATATTCTTCCATCCTTGCTTTGCTGTTGAGACAGATTTGATAGCATTATTAAGTCTCTGCAAAGTGGAGCTGCAATAAGTTTTAAAAAAAATTAGTTTGCATACTTTATTAGAGATAGACCGAAGATGTATAGACTAAGGCCATTTATTCTAAAACAAAAGAGGCAGCTGACGGGTTTTCGTTTGGATCCATGGAGGTTACAGTAGATGGAGTAAGCAAAAAGACTCAAAACTGAAGCCGAGGAAATATCAACCATGGACCTTATAAGAGATAGAGTAACCCAGTGGGCGGGCCGCGCGTCACCCACATGTCCTCAAGAAAGAGTAGGGACGATCTGGTTTACCTTAACACTGAAACCTATGGCGTTTGAATCAAATAATTTTTTTATAATTATTAAATGTGATACGTTGTATAAGTGATGAGAGTATGAAGGTCACAGTTTTTTCAAATAAAATTTAAAAATATCTCTTTAAAGCACTTTTTACTGCATTTTGCGCTTTCTTTTCACGGGTAATTCTTCTACAAACATCATTACTTTGATAAAGCAGTAAGAACTCTAAACACAAAATTTATGAATTTACATTTGAGTACAGATAAAGTAAAATTAAATAAGAATGATATTACATGAAGCTTTGAAACAAATAAAGCAAAATTAAAGAAAATTTGATATATATTTTAAATTTTATGAGCATTTTCAGGCAGTGGTTTTTAAAATTATCATAACATTACAAGACGATCATTTATTTGATCATAGATCATTAATTATTAACATCATAAGATGATTATTTATTTTAATAATCCATAAAATTCGGAGCATAAATTTTTCTCAGTGTAATGAAAATAAATAAATAAAATCTGGAAGCACTCAGATTTTTATGTTACGCTCAAAGGGAAGTTTTTAACGCATTGTGTGTTACCTCTATTTATTGAATATCATGATCTTCGCACGTAAACCACACAAAATTCAATTCATCAGCAGTATCATAAAATATTTGAAAACAATATATCTTTAGAATTTCCGCGCTGAAAATAAAAATATTATTTTCCGTACAGTGTTGCCATTGCTCGCTTTGAACTCTTTGAGTTTCTTAATAAAAAATTTGTTAAAGTTTTACAAAATATGAAATGCATTAAAACAAATTCGAATTTCGGTCATTAGATGGCCTGTTCGGAGTGGAGGATTACTTTATTCAAAATTTGATGGCTCTAGATACCGTCGTTTTTTTTCACAGTGCAAAAAACATACATGTATTCATGCAGGTTCTTCATTATTTAATTTCTTTAAATATAATACAAGGCGATAATATTTGGTAACAACAATTTGCAAGGAGTGAAACAATTTGAAACGCATTATATAGTGAAACATCGCATAAAATGCCGCTTCGAAACTAACAGCCCTTCTAGGCTCCCGCCCCTTTGGGCTAATAAATTTAAATTAACAGTAAATAATAAAAATCTTATGCAGAACTAGAATTAAATTTAAAAAAATAATCACTATAAAATGTTAGCACAATCAATTATCACAGTTTGCAATTTTGACATTACAATAAATGTATAAAAATTATTAAAGTGTTAAAAGTATTTATCACTATGATGGACACCATGATGTACAAAGTGTTTATCACTATGATTATCACTATGATGTATTGTGAAATATAATTGAAATAAAACTCCTTTATAAAAAATATGCTACAATATTCATCTATAATCTTAAAAAAGCAGCACAACTAGGAATTTTAAGCCAAAACTTTCAAAGATTCATTTTTAGGTATTTTAGTATTTTTTACTTATTTAATTAAATAAAAAGCATAAAAATTACAAGAGAAAATTCTTTGTTTGAAATTTTCTATTAGTTCAGATTTAAAATAATATTTTCTAAAAGAAGTAGTTACAAATTTCCTTACAGCATAGGAAAAGCTAAAAAAATAGCCAGGCCTGAAACCATGCAACAGCTTTATAATTATTTGGAACGTTAATTATGCTTGATAAATATGCTAAATTTTTAAAAATCAATCTCAATTTCAAAAATAAAAATTTCTAAAAATTCTAATTTGTGAAATGAGGTGCTACAACCAACATTTTCTTGACAATTATACACACTGCAATAGACAACAATTGTAAGTTTTTGCAAGTAGTCCCTACTCCTCCGGATGTGGTCAAGGTGACAGCCGGGAATGCGTCAGAAGAGGGAGAAAAGCCATTTGAGTTGGCCTGTTTCTTATAAGGTCCATGATATCAACAGCGTGATATCACGAATGATGATGGCCGCCGTGTAGCGTGCGGATAAGACGAAGCCTTTGATTATTGTTGTACTGAACCTGCTTAGCGGGATGAAATGGGTCAGTGCGGCGCTCAAGGATGCAACAATTAAATGTGTGATTCACAATTAAGTTGCTATGACCAGCCTTTTCAAGCTCGTCTGTTTTATAGACTCGTCAACAATCTGAATATAATGTCGATTCTTCGTGGTCTACAATCATTGATATCAGTGTGCTCGCTTCTCAATTTGAAACCTTAACAAGAAAGCACTCACCACTTTCACGGCATAACCCGCTGTATATCCACTATTGGGGAATTGCCAACGCTGTTTCTTTACCTCGCGAACAAACCCTTGTCTGTTTCAATTACATTATTGCATTTATTTCGGCTACTTTTTATTATATTTACTATTTATTGCTGGATTTATTTCAGGTATATTATTGCATTGAATATTTTTTATCATTCATTCGGCAAACAGAAGTCGAAAGTGCTTATGGTTGCCCTTCGTTTGGGTACCGTTTTTTACATAATTTGGCAATTTATCGTGGGGGGCGTAAAAATCAATTAGTACCGGATTTACTAACTTAACTGAAATGATTTTACCTGCCTCCGAGCGATGTACATTGTGTCATTCCCATATCTAATGCGCACATATGTAAATTAGATGCAAAATTAATATGTCCGTTTAAGTGATATTGTCTTTGTGGCCAACCCTGCGTGTATGTACATATAATATACTATAATGTAATATAAATGAATATTCTGAAAAGCATATGCATTCTCAATAACTTGGATGCGTATTTTTTAGCTGATATCTTGGCTACACTGGCTGTTAGAACTTGGGACAAGGAAGCGATGGAACTGCTTCGCCAAGAAAAGCGAAAGCATTCTTGATGATACTGTTCGTTGTACTATCGGTATTTAATGCATGTATTTTCTTTGTACGCGTCGTTCTTCCTGTGAACGTGCTGCACAAATTCATCTGGTGTCGTGATGTATTGTTCCTGTGGACCAATGTAACTGGTGAAGTCAAATAAGTATTGTTGATAAGTATTGTCGTTTTAAAAATGAAAATTGGATGTTAAAAACTGTTTTCAATGTTTGAAATGGAAAGAAAAGATGTTTCACTTTTCACGTGAAGCATTATCAAACAATTTTTTTCTGGATGTCAATGGTGTTATCTAACTACAACATTATTTTGGTTTTTGACGTATGTAAGAAATTTAAACCTTTATTTATACAAGAATCGAAGCATATTTAAAGTATGCCGAGACTTGTAATTGGTCATTTTCAGAATAAATTGTCCCCAACCTTAGCTTGTTTCATTTCATTTCAAATTGTCCCCAACCTTAGTTTGTTTCATTCGTTACATATAGCACTTTACCAATATCCAAAATAACTGTTTTTAGCCCAAATTACGAGAAAGTGGACAAAAATAATATGCCAAGATAAAACTTTTTTCCATGATTAAGAAAAGGTGAAAGGAAGAAGAGTTATGTTATACAAAATTTTTGTTTTCTTACCTTAAGGCTAAAATTATTATTTCACCACAAATCCGAAATCTGCATTTGAAGTCTCGATTTTATAAGCCTCTTTACAAAGATGAGAATACTAAATATCATTTCAGTTTGAAAACTTTCTAATAAGCATTAGTTTAAAATTGTTCTTTATTTTGGAATATTTTGTGAATGAATTTATGTGTCGACCATTCAAATTTTCAAACACTTTGACACTGCTTGCAAGCTAATTATTTTTCCAAATTTGTTTCTACTTAAATCTCATTTGAAACCTTTATGTAGCTCTAATTAACATCCCTTCAGGACTGTAACTGTTCTATTCCATTTCCAGGCTTTCATTGCCTCGAGAAAATTACATACTTCATTTTTAGACATTCAAAGCCTGGGAACAAACACAAGTATTTTTCATCTTAAAGATTACAAAATTTAATATTGCAGTTTTCTGAATTGTTTTGATCAAATATTAAGTAGAAGATACAACTTTCTATTCTGAGGCAAGACTAACATAAAAATAGATTATTAAGTTAGATTAGATAAATTATGAAAAACGACTTCTTTAGGAATGATGACTTGGGGAGATAAGCAGAACTTTGCCTGAGTAACTGGTTTACAGTCATATTATACATAAAAACCAAGAATATTTCACGCAACTAGATTTAATTCAACAGAAGCCAAACTGGAACTAAGTGCTAGGTCACAGAGGCCACTGAAAGTAGATGGAAAGTGACATCTACATGGGTAGTTAAAGTACATATAAAGGGCTTGTTAGTGAGTTCTAGTGCTTGTAATGGCGACAAGTTCCATGCAACGAATATCCCGCACAGTACCCAGATCTAAACTAGCTGAACAGTATCAGACACTTGATGTACTATCAGCTACATATGTGTTCAATTGGATTTGTCGCCCGGCACTCACGAGACAGCCCTATGGCTACTATACTAAAAGATTTGCTCTTCCCGATGAAGGGAAACCAGTGGTGACGTCAACGTCCTGCTCAAAAGCCAGGTTTCTCCCACTTCTATGAGTAAAGTGACATCACTGAGAAGATAAATGAGATACACCACTGTCTTGAGATCAGGAAGAGTAAGGTTTGACCTCCAAAGAGCATACTTTGTCTGTCTACTAAACTTGGACATCTCTAGGGCACTTCCCAAACTGATTTGGCAGCATAATACCAGCTATCAGCAATGATTAGAGCTACAAGAAGAATGAGCCAAAATGCCTAAAGGGGCCTCGAAACTCATCGCAGTCATCAACATCCTCCATCGCAGTCATCAACATCCTCCATCGCAGTCAGGGATGATCAACTACTCAAGATAGGCTAAGCTATCGGCTAGGCTGCGATCATAACAGTAAATGTTGGGTACAAGTAGAGGGAAGAAAAAAAGATTTTTAGCTTAAAAAGATTATGGCAGATTTATAACTTAAATAAAGTCTCTAAAACAGGTTATGGCAGATTTATAACTTAAATAAAGTCTCTAAAACAGGTATTCAGTTATAAAAAATGAAATTGCAGTTAATAAAATGTCTCAGCATTTCAGTTATATATCATGAAAATTTTACAAGTTCATATGCTTAATAACAATGAAATAATTATGATACAGGTACAAAAAAAAAACAAATTTTTATTACAAAAAATATACAGTTCACATATGCAAAACAATCAATTCTAACAAGTTTGTACATTGATATAAGGGCAGGTCGAAGTTAAATTTAGTCAAACACTGCTAAACAGGATAATATTTTGCATGCAATTAAACAATTACATAGTATCAATGATGAATAATAAATCCTGTTTTATAAATTACAAGAAGCTTTATTAAAAACAAAATTTTTACTAACAGCAAAATATTATTCATTTAGTAAGAAGAAAAACTGACACATATGCTGTCATACTTCACTTTGGAAACCTCAGCTTTATGAAACCTTGGAATGATAATTAAATTTTTGGACACAAAAAATTAAGCTAAATTTAAAAAAAAAATAAATTGTCCAGATTTCTGTAGCAGTGCACAATATAGCTTATTAGTGAATGATTGCCATAACACTGCTACTTCATTAAAGTGTTTATTAATAGTCAAACTCTACAACTACACTCTGCTTTATGAATCACTGTTAGGAACAAATTAAATTCATAAAGACAAGGTGCTCCTAAATATATATAACTGTAAAAAAGAAGATATAAAATTTTGAGGTGCTCTTAAACCCTTGTATGCACTCCTATGATACATTTTATTATAATAATCACTTTAAAAATATAACATTGGGTACACTTAAAGTTTTTGCCGTTTACTAATTAAACAATAGGCAGAAATAGCCCTGAAAGTTAACTCCCTATTCAGAAAAAATAATCATTTTAATTTTCAGCAATGCATATATGTGCACGATAAAGTGGATAAGCCTTGAAGATCAAATCTGATCTTCCTACAAGAAAAAATCCCAAAATATTTTCAAAGTGTTATGAATGCATATTGTAGGAAATGTAATTAAAACTTAATAAAATCGAGTTTCAAAATTATAAGAATTTTATCTTGAGATCCTGAATTTTCAAAATCTTATTCAATGACATTTCTATTTCACTAAACACAACATCCCACCATATATATAGTTTGCATCTGCTTGTGTATATGTACACACATACATATATACAATTAAAGGTAATGTGATTACACACACAACTGTACACATCACATAACTGTGGTTATGGAGGGTGATTATTAGGGAAAATAGAAGTAAAATTCATCAATACAAATATTTTAGCATTATGAATGATACATTGAATAAAAATCTTTGCATACACATCACAAAATAGCAAATTAAAAATAAAATTTATCACATGCCCATAATAAAAAAAAGAGATAAGGATTAAAAATTACCCTGTAATACTAACCCACATAAATCTTAGTTGTAGCATGAGTAAAAATATTATTGAATAACATTAAAACCAGAAAATAATTCTATCCTTTCACAACCTTCCACTGAAACATAACAATTAAACTTCATACAAAACGAATTTTTTATAAACACAAAAACATGTGCTTGAAAATAGCACTAATCAAATGAAATTGATTATTTGAACTCTATATCATTAACATACACGTAACATTGAAATATAACACCATAAATTACCAAGCATACTAAAACATATTTCTGTAAAGAAAAATAGACACAACTCCACAATCATTTAATAGATTTAACAAGCAAAGTAGGGAAATTCCTAGTATTATACATTAATATAACATATGTACCAGAATTACAGTAAAAAATGTAATGCTCATTAAATGTTTAGCAAGATATTTGCTTCAAATTTTACACATTTAAAAATTAAAATTTTAACTTTACAATGAAATGACATTTTTCATGAATTAACATACAAATTACATTACAATGCATTACACACAAGTTTACAGTTTGAAGCTAAATGCTGACATGAACATTAAAGGATAAACTCATAACATTCGATTCAAAATATAACAGAAAAACTTTTCCTAAAACAATAAAATATATCCATATAGACTATATATACATATTTAAAATAAAACAGGAAGAAAGAAATATTTGTACATAAAAAATACCCTCCTGTTATGCTGATTTTGCCAAGTAATTATATAACATTGCTGCTTATTTAAGTGAGCAGTTAACAAATTTTCATGATCAACAGACAGTTTAGTGATCTTATACAGTTACTGAAAATTTTTATCAATACAATGCAGTTTAACACAATACAACATATAGATGGAAAAATGTTTCTTTGTTATAACTAACAAAATCTATTAAGCATAATCCTTGATGTTTACAGTATCAACCAATTTATTCAGTCTAATAATAGTTTTCAGTCTGAAGGGCAACTGTATATTACATAGTTATGTAATAGATGTACTTTTGTATTTAAAAGTCATGATGTAATTGAAATATATTCTAATGGTTTCAGAAATAATTAAGGTATGGTCAAAAATGAGAAAGTCAAACCATTACAATATTGTTATAGTCAATATATTATTAATTAGTTATTATAGTCTTCTGATTAGTTAATTGAAACTTTATGCACATGTATGCTTATTTAAAAACACTGTACAACATCTCTTTTGTAAAATTACTTTAGTGGTTAAGCAAGTCGAAAGCTTACATAAATTTCATGACAAGTATATTTTCCTCAAAATATGCAGCTTCATTAAAATAAAAAATACTCAGTAAAAAAAAAACTAAATAGAAAACCTCAAGGTGGGAAATATTAATCTACCTGACTTAAAATCATTAAAAATGCATGAAAATCTCTTTTATATATTCTAAAAGATTTACTTAATTTTTTTAATTTATTTTTGTTATACAAAACTAATATCCAGTTGAAGCCAAATATGTTACATCTTCCAGCTGTAGAAATATCATCCATGTTAAATACTGCATATATATATTTAAAAAACAACCATTTAAAGTTGAGCACTTATGGAAATGGCAAAAGATCACACCATGCCTAAAAAGAATGATGAATATGAAAACATTAAAAAAAAAGCAAAAGAACCTACAAATTTCACTGATAAACAAAAAAAGCGTTAATCAGTGACTTACATTACTTGACATCCAACATTCGTGGCAGAAAATGCTCCACAGAAATATGATACTCAGATGATTAAATTTTATATTATAAATATAAAGTTCCTTGGAGATATAAAGAGATGCAGGCATTTAAAAATTAAAAACTTTTTCTTATACTAAAAAGCTGTTTTGTTTATATTAGAAGTTCTGTAGTATTCCTTACTCTGCTGTACAGCTGTTAACCAGGAGCTAAAAAAGGAATATTTAAATGTTAACTGGCAAATCATAACTAACTTGAAATAAAATTATAGGGACTGAATAAAATAAATTAAATTAAAGGGACAAAGAATAAAATTAAATTAAATGAACAAAGAAATCAAATTAAAGGAACTTTGAAATAAAATTAAAGGGACAAAGGGTAATTTCAAAAATCCAAAATATATCAATTGTTTCATATGCAATACAGTTCAAAATAGCTGTAAAGAAGAACCTGAGTAATTAATTACACAGAAGAAATTATTACACTCTTAGATACACTTTACATTAAGATAATTTGTAAATACTTATGTATTAACAATATCATGACTATTGCTTTAGTTTTCCTATTTTCAGCCTCAGCATTTAAAAGTGCAAAAAAGTCTTAATGACAGCATTTTAAAAATTTTAGGACCTGTATCTTTTGGTAGCTGAAAAAGATAAGAAATTTCCCTCGACATTTTTTCCTTGACATTTTTATCAGTCAGAGTTTTTATGGTTATTAAAAAAATTATTTAATGTTTTTGATAACACAATAATTTTCACAAACACTTCAATGTAATATTTTTATGTTTTAACAAAAGTTTAGATATTTCAAATTAAAAGAAAGCACATACATAAAACTCGAACAATTCTAAATAGTAGAAGTAACAGTTACAATTACTATGAATTTGTTGTTTTTCTGTGTTGTCAACAAATATCGAAAGAAGAAGAATAATTTAATTTTTGTTTCAAAGTTTATATAAAAAAATATTGATAAAAGGTGGACTTGCTCCCAATGGCTTTAGAAGTTATAAAAAAAGGGCTGTCTGACGTAGAAAAAAGGAAGCAACGAGTAAATCCTTTAGTAACTAAGAAGAATACTATTTATTTCATCAAGATTTACAAAAATCAGAAAATAACAATAATTGGACTTAACCACATTGACTTCTGAGTGACTCATATATTCTTACAATACACACATTTTCTTAATGTATTAATCATTCTCTAATGCGGGGGTTCTCAGAGGAGGAAGTCTACCCTGTGATCATATTTTCAGGGGGAAATGCAACCAGAATTTTATTTAGCTGTTAAGTATTCAGTTTTAGTTTATAAATATTAAAGTACTTTTATTCAGGTTTTGGGAATTTATCAACACTTTCTGTACTTTTTGTAGTTTAATTTATAATAAACGTTAAAAATTTAAAAAATAATCTGAATCTAAATATATGCGTGTGTGCTTTTCCAGTTTTGGAAATGATGGGGGAATGATCTTCTAGCAATGAAGAAAGGGATGTGTATGGAAAAACAAGTCAAGAACCATTGCTCTAATCCAATAATTTAAAATGCCTTTATAATTGCGAATGGAAATATATATATATGAAATGTCAGCATATTCAATACAATAGAAAGAACAACTAATTAAGTTTTTTTATGCAAAATAACTTTCAAATTTTGAATGAAATCACTCTTATTTTAGGTGAACGGGTATGAACTGACCATGTTCTCTTTAAAGCTAAATAAAGAAACTTCAAAATCTTTAAAAATAATATTTTTTATGGAATAATCATTAAAAAATGACTTCCAAGTAAATAGCACACTTCATTAAAATATTTTAGATACCTTTATTTGCAGAAGATTAAAAATTAATCTCAAAACAAGAAAATAATTCCAATTTGAATACAAGATCTTACAGCAATGAAAGTGAAGCATAAAGGATTTCATGATGTTAAGTTCATTTTAAATACTATTTTAAGAATTGTTGTTACTTCACGTATATTAAACTGTATTCTTGATTATTTAAATTGTACTTCCAAAGTTGAAAGCTAAAACTTTAAAAGTATAGCTGCTTAACACTTCTGTCAAGGAGCACAATCACAGCCATTACTAGTCATCATGCCATTTGCCACAGCATGCCTACTGCCAGCTATAGTGGCCAGGAATTTATGTCTTAAAATGTCTTGGCAGACAGCTTGATTAATTTAAATCTTAAAAATTAGTCAAATAGATAAGCAATTATAATATTTACAAACAAACCTTGAATAATTCTTACATCATTTTGCAATATATATAGGATAACATTTGGCAGGAACTGAAATTCAATTATTATTTAATTATTACAATTAAAAATTCTAGTCATTATGCAAAATAAAGTTTCCAAATTTTCCCATCAATTCATACAGCAGGTCGTCTATCACGTCATATTAATACATATGTACTACACAAAACAAGTTAAAATCTGAGCTAAAGAACTGTTAAAACTGCACCCATTGAAATCTGCTTATTAGTGAAGCAGTTAGCTTCCTTCTAGTTACAAATTAATAAAAAAATTTAATATCTAAGTTAGATGAAGAAAAATATTTATTAAAACTAATCATGGGTTATTTAGGTATATAATGCACACAATATGTAATTTCTGAAAATATTTAGATTTACCTCAAAGTGCAACATGAAGATAATGGAGGAAGAGGAGGACATAAAGTATTTCTAAGAATAGGGTCATGATTTGGATCAGCCAGCATAAGTTCTTCATACGTAAATTTCAGCTTATCTGAAAGCGATGGAGATAAATTAAAAACATTATTAGTTCAGCATAAAATTTATAATATAAGCATAACCAGTAAAATTCAATTTTTATTTAACACATTATAAAAAAAGGACCAGGCAGTCCCAATACAATCACATATGATATTATTGATGCTCAGTTCATTCAACAGGCATGATCATTTTTATAAGCTTTTATTTAGCTCACTTACGGCTTTTCTTGCTATCACTAAAAAATTGGCATCGAGTTTTATACCACCTGGTAAACCAACGAGTTCAAATTTTGCAAATACGCTGTTTATGTATAACAACATAATGAATGTTTTGAAGCGATCTGTTAAAATTCGATTGAAATGTTTTAATTAAACATTTTTTTAACGCATACAATCTCCCTGTGCACCACAAATGCACAACATGGGGCTTACAAAAGTAAGTTAACTAAAACATTAATTATTACATGCACAAATTAAATGAACAAAAATACAGAACAGCAGTCTGGACTTCACAAAAACAGATAAGTTCACTGGCCAAGTCACGCCAAGCTTTTCCAAACCGTTGTGCAAGCATAATCCACTGAAGGTAGGGCAGGAAAAAATTTAATTTTCCACATCTTGAGGTACTTTTTTTTAACACTCACATAAATTATTTGATCTTAGATTGAAACGAAACAGGTAATTTGCAATTTTACGATGACCAAATAAAGACCAAAATACCTTAAAATTAATACAGAAGAAAGACTCAATGCAGTCTATGGTAAACAGAAGGTAGGAACTTTTTGGTGCCTCTGCATTACAAAATGAAATATCAAAAGGACTTCAAATAATATCTGATATGCTAATATTTATATCAATGGGTAAATTTAAAGCATCTTCAGCTAAGAAATCAGCTCTTTCATTTCCACAGAATCTATGATGACTATGCACATAACCAAAACGGACATCAATTCTCCTGTTTCTAAGCGAACTAACAGCTAAGGGAGTTTCGAATGCTAATTTGTCGCTGCAGGTAATATTATTCAAATGGTGAAGAGAAGAAGGAGAATCAGAACATATAAGATACCTTGAGGATGTTATCCCATTATCCTTCAGCCACTTGACGACAAGATAATACAGACAAGTTCTGCTTTAAAAAGTGCGCATTCATTTCGAATACAGTGCTTAAAATAGCAAACCTCAGATTGGTCTTCAAAAAGAACAAATGCTAAACAAACCTTATCGCTCATTTTATTGATATCTGTAAAGCAAACCATATGAAAACACTTTTCAATACTGTCTTCCTAATCGCAGAAATTTATGTTGGTAGCTGGATGAGAAGTATCGGCGAAGGAGATATTTCCATTTATGCAGTCTTCCGAAGTATTAGTTGTCAATGCCTCAAAAATATGATTCTTATATTCAATTTTGAAACCAATAGGTCGAACTCCTGCAAGAACAAAAGTAGCCTCATACCTTAGGGTTCTACAGCCTGAGTAAAAACTTTAAGGCCAGTAAAAATTTTGAGAAAATGTAAAATAAAATAAAAGGGATTCAAATAATATTAATTATTAAAGTTCATTGATAAGAAATAAATGCTATAAACATAATTTGTAAATACATAGTTATGAGAAACATTTGGTTATTTACAAAGTTAGTATTTCTGCCTGAGTAAAAACTTTAAGGCCACCAGTCATTTTTTAAAAATAAGTATAATATAATCGTGTAATTACCATTGCAACTACTAGCTTGTGACAACGCTGCAATTTTCATATTTGTCATACTTTTCTTCGAAGTATTGGTGATCTTTGTGAAAATGGCAAAGGGTAAGAAGTTAACTGATAATGAAAGAGGAGAGATTAAAGCTTTGTCTTAAATAGGAATGAGCAGTCGTGCTATAGCGATAAAGATAGGAAGATCAAAGACTGTAGTAAAAAATCTTTTAACATTGAAAGACAATTATGGTAAAGAATACTGGGGGAAGACCTAAAGCTTTGTCCTCGGGTGAAGAAAGAAGAGTTTGCCAACTTGTATCTACTGGAAAGTACTCAAACAGGAAACTGATTCCGACGACAGGTTTAAAAGTTTGTCAAAAAACGATTTATAACACAATTAGAAGTTCTGGAAGGTTCACTTATACAGCAAAATTGACTAAGCTTCGGTGACTGCAGAGACACAAAATAGAACGTTTGAACTTTGGCCAGAAAGTCATGACCTGGGACAACCAATGGACAGAAATTATTTTTTCTGACGAAAAAAAATGGAATTTGGATGGACCAGATGGCTGGAATTTCTACTGGCATGATATAAGAAATGAAAAAGAAATATTCTCCAAGCGCCAATTAGGTGGAGGGTCTGTCATGACTTGGGGCTGTTTAGCTTACAATGGTGTGGGCTCAATTGCATTCGTTTCAGTCAGAATGAATTCACAAGGATACCAAAATGTCCTAACAAATCATCTTTTGCCAAATGCTGAATGTCTTGCTAGAGAAAATTGGAAATATCAGCAAGACAATGCATCGGTCCATTCGAAAAACAGCACAAAAAATTGGTTCCAAGTCAACAATGTTGAAACTGTGAAATGGCCAGCTAGATCAACTCACCTCAACCCAATCGAGAACCTTTGGAGTGACTTAGCAAGAAGAGTTTATGCAAATGGGAGACATTTTACATCAACAACAGATCTGAAATCTACTATCGAAGACGAATGGTATAAAACCGACCCCACCCTTTGTCAAAAACTCGTTTCATCCATGAAAACAAGAATATTTGAAGAAATGGCTCCTACACAACCTTCTAAGAATTTGTAATTTTTTCTTATATGTTATTTTCTATGTTGGCCTTAAAGTTTTACTCAGGCTCAAATATTCATCTGTGTGTTCTCTAATATTTTCTAATAATAAAATATTTGCAAATTAATTTTTCTACTATTTTTACTTTTATTTAAGTTCAATAATTATCAATCAAATGGTATTTTAATTCCTCAGTTTAAGTGTTTCCATTTTCTCAAAAAGTTTTACTGGCCTTAAAGTTTTTACTCAGGCTTTATAACCACTAATAATGTGAAGATAAATTCTCTGTTGAAACTTTCTCAAATTTCTTTTGTTAACCTTCTTTAAGCATCTTGACTTCATAGCTTAAGTCCAAAAGTAGTCTGGCAATTCAGTGGAAACCATTAATAATTTTTTCACATTTAGTAGAAAAGAATTCGATATGCTCATGTTAATCTTTGGCCAAGTACAACACCATGATACTTAACACTTTCTACAAATTCCAATGGAGAATCATCGAGTATCAAAGGAGCAATATTTTGTTCATCAAAAGTTCTGGAAAAAATCATAGTTTTACTTTTTGAAGGATTGAAAATGAAAGATTGCCGAACTGGAGACAAAATCCGGCACTGCCCCTACTCTCAAAAGAATATTATTCAAAATCTTTCCTTGGAAAATTAAAAGTAAGTCGTCTGCAAATGCAAAGTTTAGAAAATATTTTCTTAAAGTAATAAAATTAAAATTTGACAAAACTGACATTAATACCTATTGGAAATAGCTTTAAATAATTTCAAACAAAATTTTTTATATTAAAACTTTTACGCGAACAGAATGGCTGCATGGACATTTTGGTGGTTTTCCTAAGAGTAATGTGTATACAAGCCAGTTTTTCTTAGAAAGACCTCCATGAAGGCATCGCTCTCCTTAGGCAGATAGCCCTCGAGGCTTTGTCATAATCACATAAACCTATATTAAAACTTGATTTTCATTAGAAAGAGAAAAGCATGCAAACATTATGCACTGTAAATGATATGGTTCTTGTATTTCAGAAGCATTAAAAAAAACTTGTCCTCTTTCACTATTTTTAATACACTGAAACTATATAAAAATTTATGAACATTTTAACTATATGAAAAATACTTATCATAAGTATTATAGATTATGATAAAAAGGGTTAACTACAAATATACCTTTTCTCATAGGTCCAAGGCGGGCAGCAATAGCAAAAAGTACATCAGCCTTCCAAAATAATGGTACTCTAGGATACATTTGACTATCACCTAAACCAAGGTGCAAACCTAACTTTTGCAGCAATTGCAAAAATACTTCATCGCGAAGAATCAACCTTTGTTCTTCAGTGTATGGTACTAATGGAATTGACATCATCATTCCTAAATAAAATATTTAAATTTTAATAGAATACATTTGAGCCATTAAAAAATTACAGATTACACTCTAACATCTGAAAGATGAGATTACTACTACGAATTTTTTAATTTCAAAAAGTATTTTGAAAAAACATACAAATATTTTGCTTCGCCTTTTAAATAAAAAAACATACATTAAGTTTCCAACTTAAAAAATTAAATCCTTACTCAAACTAAAAAAAAAAAAAAAAAAAAATACGGTAAAATATAAAAATAAAGATGAAATTAAAACTAAAAGAATTTTTATTTTTAAAAGTTTCATTTATTTCTACAATTCGTTTTTTAACAAGAAATAGCATAAGAAGAAAAAAATCAAAATATTAAAAAAAGTATAGAGTTTGAATACTCTTTAAAAAAAAGAAATACACAGAAAGATGAATCTACATTACTGTAAAATTTTATCAGTACCTTTCGATTTTATTTTGAATGCTGAAGATGCACAGATTAGAAATTTTGAAATTGATATTTCATAGCATATTAGACATGCATTTTATTAACCAGACTTACAACATAATATAAAAATTGTTACATGATATTATTTAGAATTAAAGATAAAGTAAGTTTTAAATGATTCATTTTTTCATTCTGATGCACTTTCATAAACTTAAAAGATAAATAAGTAGTCTTACGTATCATACTATGGCAATAACACATACTAATGTTTCTAATCGGCAAAATTTTATCACTAACCGAAAACAATAATATCTCTTCAAGGTGTTTGGTGGGTATACAAGGTGTCTATAATTAAACAGGCCTATTTCAAAGCTGCCTATAAGCGAAACGAGTGATCAGAAAATTGTGAAATTTTTGTAGTGGACTTAATGAAAGGATGAGAATTGTTTTCAGAGGAAAAAAATATTGGTTACAAATAGCGTCACCAAAGGGCATTATACTTTTAAATTATACAATTAGCCACACCTTTACAATAGTTTTAACATGTTCCACATGATGGTCATCATTTGCAGCTACCATCTGAAATTGCAAGATAGCATGTTCCACATTTGGCCGAAGTGTGTGCTGGGAAATGAGCACGTAGCGTGGCTTAAAGAGCAGGTAAAGTTCCTGGGTTGTCAAGACTTACCAGATGTTTCGTATGTCCCCAAAGCCAAAAATCGCATGGATTGAGGTCTAAGGACCGGGAGGCCATACAATACGAAAGTGTCGGCTAATGACATGTTCTTCTGTAAAATGACGTTTAAGAACATTCGTAACACACCGTGCAGTGTGTGAAGGAGCTCCATGTTGCATAAAGATTGTGTGTGCAAGGCACTGACGTGCTTGCAGAGACAGAACAATTTCGTTCTCTAACAGCGATCCTTATCAAGCATATCACTGGACCTGCGGAACTTAACCCTTTGCACTCGAGCGGTGCCTCTCAGGCACCACTGCATGTGATGCGATAACTCGAGCGGTGCCTGAGAGGCACCATTCGAATCGATGTGTTTATTTGTGTTTGACCTAAGGAATATCGCTTGAGAGATCTACTTGGCCTTTTTTAGATCACATGACGAGGTGTCTGAATAGCTATAAGGATGTCTTATCTCAAATAAAGGTTGTCTTTGCGATGCTTATGCGATTAAATGTCTTATCTCAAAAATACTTGCGACCGCGGGTAGGACTCTGTCTTCGACATCAGTTCGAACTCAACCTTCTTGCCGATCGCAGTATTTCTTTCAAAGTTACTGAGCCCAATAAAGATAGTGATAAAGATAGTGACGACGTTAGAGGAGCAAGAGGACGAAAAATCCGAATAATAGATAGTGAATCTGGAAGCCAAAGTGATTGTACAGAAGAGACTGAACCTTCAGAATGGACAGTGTGCACAGAAAAGCGCCTCGAGCGCAAAGGGTTAATTCCTCGAAGAAGTACGAGCCGAGAAAAATGACGTAGAAAATCACACCATACCTTCACTTTTGATTAATGTGATGGAAACTGCAAAACAGGGCACGTATTTTCTGACAAATTCGACAGTTGTGAGTCTTCACTGCACCGTCCAAATGAAACGCACTTCGTCTGTGCAGAGGATACTCCAAGGCCATTCTGAATGTATCTCAAAGTAAGCAGGAAACTGAAGTGAGAACCGGAGTCGAGCGTTAAAATCGTGTGCTGCGTGTCAACCGCTGCATTAGTGAAAGGCTGTAAGGATAATATCGGAGGATATTTCGCAAGATCCTTATGGACAGTTGAACGTGGTCTATCAAGCGCCTGTGCTATACGCCGGACAAATGATGCTAACCTAAAAGTTAGAAGCTGTGCCCTCTACGACCTGAAGCGCAACCTCTTATACTGCTTCTGCAGAAACAGATTTTCTTCGTCTTTCAGGATGAACTCGATCCTGTTTCTTCAAATTTCGTTATCATTTTCCGAAGATTTTTAACATTCATTGGAATTCTGCAATTTATCCGAATTTCCGAGAATTCGAAAATTTTGTAAAATTTTACTAATATTTTATGTCTAATAGCACAATTTAACAAGTCCCAAATTTTTTTTATTCAGCTGCTGACTTGGAAAGAGTCATTTTTAAGATAAAAAAAGTTCTCTAAGTTGAACTGCGGTGCTTAACCACCAGGGTGCCTGGGCGCCATAGCCCTACCCCTCATCGAATAACATGATAAAAGTTTCGAATTATGAGAAATATAACTGAATGTGCTAAATAATTAAATGAGCAAGAGTTTAAATTCATAATTGCTAATAGTTAAATACATATTTTTTCCTTAAGTACCTAATTACTAATCCATACATAATTAACTATTTTTTAACAACTATTTCACAGAAGAATACATGTACACACAAGAGAAACAAAATACGAAGTGCGACGCCTTAGTGCCACTAGTAAAAAAAAAAAAAAAGGAGGAAAAAAGAACAATATACAATAAAGAATCTGAGCAACAATTTGCATAACACATATACAAAATTACACATTACTAACATTTAGGATCGCCCTTGGGCGTTTACTGAAATTGGGGTCCCTAGTATCATAACAATAGTTAACAACCACAGGATTGTCCAGAAGTTCCTGTTTATCATAAAATGCCCTAGATAGGCGGCAATAAAAATCACAAAGATCCTCTATTCTTAACTCTTTACGAATTTGGCTATTCCGAATGTACCAGGGGGCATTACATATCATACGCAATACCCCGTTTTGGGCAGCTTGTAACTGCCTTCTCAAACTTTTGCACGAGTATGCCCAGACGGGGCATGCATAACTAAGAATTGGACGCAACATGGTTTTGTAAATGAGCAACTTATTATCAATAGATAGAACACTGTTTCGAGCAATTAAGGGGAAGAGTGAAGCTTTACTAGCTCGAAACTTCCTGAGAATATGTGTAACGTGTGGGTTCCATGTAAGAGATTTACTGAGGATCACCCCAAGATAAGGGACCTGCTTGACCCAGGGAATGTCCACACCATACATTTGCAGGTGAGTCGGGAAATTCTTCTTAGTAGTAAACAGTATGGCATGTGTCTTGTCGACATTCACTTTGACTTTCCATTTGGTCAGCCAAGTCTCTAGCTAGCGAGATGTGGTGTTGTAGCTGTTGTATTGCTGAACTAACAAATGCACTTTGCGTAAGGATCGCTGTGTCGTCTGCATACATGGCTAGTGTTTGTGTTGTGTGTAGTGGGGATGTCGTTCACGTAAATATTGAATAGGGTAGGGCCCAGAAGGGATCCCTGTGGAACACCAGCCCGTATAGGCCGGTTTGTGGATAATGAACCAGAAACATGAACGACAAAGTGTCTACCGGTTAGGTAGGATTTAATTATGTTTGTGATGTAGCCTGGGAGTCCCAGGTTGTGTAATTTGTATATGAGGGCATCCAGCCATACTCTATCGAAGGCTTTGGCGACATCTAAGAAAAGTCCACCAGTGACACGATGTTGTTGCATCCCACTGCTTATTAACTCAACAACTCTGTAGAGTTGATGCGTTGTCGAGTGCTTACGCCTGAACCCAAACTGATAGGGTATGAGGATCTTCTGCTCATCCAGGAAGATGTTTAGTCTATGTAGAATAACTGCTTCCACGATTTTGCTAATTGAGCTTAGCAAACTGATTGGTCGGTAACTCTCAGGAGCAGTCGCAGGCTTGTTGGGCTTTAGCAGAGGGACAATCTTGGCAGTTTTCCAACAAGTTGGGAAGTATTGCCATCGTAGTATGATATTCACTAACTTGGTGAAGTAGAGTATTATCTTGACAGGGAAGTGCTTGATCATCTCATTTGTGACACCGTCTACTCCAGGGCTCTTCCTTTTCGCAATTCGCATGATATAGAGACAGACCTCCGATGGCATGGCTGAGATAATGTTGTCTGTGCATGGCTGTGTTGTAAAATTGGAGTGGAAGTCAGCAATAAGCTGTTCAGTGTCTGAGTCTGAAATGTTGTTAATGCAGAACTGAGATTCCAGATGCTGAGCTAAAAGTTCTGCTTTCTCAGTTCCGGTGTAATGGATCCGTTGAGGGCCGTGAAGGGGCGGAATGGCGTTATAGCATTTTTTGTACCTCTTCACTGCTTTCCATAAGGAGTTATCCTCTGCAGAAAGAGATCTGAGGTAGTTAGTCCAGCGATCTTGTGAGAGTTTATTTGTAAGAAACTTGACCGCTTCGCACAGGCGATTGAAGTTCCTTTTATCATCACGGTGTCTGGTACGTTGATACGCTCGTCTTGCAGCATTTCTCTCTTTAATCAATAATCTGAGCTCTTGAGGCTTGTGTTTCATACCAGGTTTAACTTCAACTTGTGCTTTCGCATAAGCATTTTGTATATTTTCAGTGAGGTCCTTGACCAAACTATCAATGTCACTCCCCTTGTGTATCGTGGGTAAAGTGTACTGGGTGTTGGAGAGGGCTTTGGCAAAGACCTGCCAGTCTGTACGAAAGGCCCTGGTGTCTGATGTAGTATATCTGCTGAGGTCCAGAATAATCCTAACAGGATTGTGATCACTTGAAAGTTCGT